AAGCATTTTTCTTTCTTTTTCGTCAAAAACACTTTTATTAATCCATCAAATCGTTACATATTAACACGAATAGCCATAAGGCGGGGTTACCAAATTCGAAAAATAACAGCATTGGTTACCAGCAAATTTGGCAAGCTGGTGGGCTACATTGTTACAAGTTCTTTTAACAAAATTAAACCGAACATATGTAAACTTTTCTCTCCAATGGTAAATATCTTGTAACAAGTTGTCAATCTCACTACATTGGCTGTCTCCCCTTATTGTGTTAATTAGCACTTTGCTATCTCCTTAAAAAATTACCGAAGTGAATCTACGTATCCAAGTTTGTTGCATAGCTGCTAATAGGGCTTTGGTCTTAGCTATCAATGAACTAGGTGTACTGTTTAGATATATCGATCCCCACGACCTTGTGTTCCATGGTGATCTCTTATGATCCATGCACTGCTTGCTTCAGATGAGGCAATATCCAAACCTGTGTCAAAATTACATTGCACATGTGAAGATTCCGGCTTTGTCCATGATGGTGTTTCTGTTGATGGTGATCGTGATTGTGAGATGAGAAATAATTTTGAAGCAGTATTGTTTATCCACTCTTTAGCTTCAGATTGTGCTTTTAAAACAACATTGGAAGGACTTTCTCTGAATTGGTTAAACACGAAGTTATTTCTAACATTGATGACTGGTATCTACGAGCCTTTGAATCCAATATTATAGATTTATCTTTAAAGTATCGTGCTTTCATCAACCTAGCAAAGAGTGAGTTAGGGTTTTGTACCATTCCCCAAGCCTGTTTTGCTAAAAGAGCGTCATTAAATTTTGCCAAATTCAAAAATCCAATCCACCTTGAGTATTGTAACTTTTTCCAAGCTATCCATAGAATTCCTTTTTTTCTTTGAACCTTTTTCCCACCAAAAGTTCATTAGTAGGGATTTTATGTCATTTACAACTCCAATAGGCAAGTTAAAGCATGACATTGCATAAACATGCATAGCTAAGGCTACTGATTTATTTGTTGTTGAATAATTAATTATGTAGTACTTTACTCATAATTTTTTTTTGTAGGGAGTCTTTCATAATGTGATACTTTTGGAGAGTTTGTGTGCAAAAGAGACAATTGCCAAACACATTCAATATTCAATATAATTTTTTAATATATTTAATGCATTGATGCTTATGTTAGTTAGTTTTTTTTTTCAATTTCAAAACTAAACTACAAAGGAAATTAAAATCATTAATAAATTATTCTCTAAGATATTAAACTTTAAACTGAAACCGGAAAAAAAAATTCTCTTGTAATCAATGAAGTAATTGCTTATTTTTATATTGTCATTAAAAAGCATTAATCTCTAATCTGATTTATTTAAATACAAAAACTTTCTTATTATATAATGTTTTTGAGCCATAAAAAAATATTTCCTACAATTAAATTCGTTAGAATGAAACCCACAACATATGAATTTTTGTTGTTAATATAAAAATCGTTAAATTTTCTATCTTATATATATATATATATATATTAGAAAACATATTGTGAGTTTTTTGCTACTTACGTGTTGTTATGAAAAACTTTCTTAGTAATTTTAATCACAGAAAATACTATATAATAATATACATTAAGGGAAAACTTTAAACTTAAATTTTACTTAATTAAAAACAGTAAAATAAGTATTTTCTATATATCGTAATATGCAAGTAAAATTGAGACTTAGGGGGGTGTATTGAAACAGTGATTTTGGAAATTTTTGGCTTTTTCTTAAAATCGCCTGTTATTCAATGGTAGAGTTAAAGTCAATTCTTTAAGGTTTAGATTTGTTTTCTGATATTGGTTTTAAGAATCTGTTTGTGTGGATTTCAAAATCTCTGCAGTATATCTTGGATTTTGATTCTAATAATTTACTCATGAAACTCCAAAGATGTTTCATTTGAAATGACTTAATATACAAAGATTTTACAAGTCTTTTAGTTTTGAATAACACTGGATTTTACAAACTTTAAAGAATTGACTTTAACTCCACCATTGAATAACACCAAACTTTTAAAATCTAATGAAGTATAAGATCTAATAACACCAGATTTTAACGTTAGATTTATAATCATTAGTTGAATAACACTGGATTAGTGTTGGATTTCAATTCTATTAAAATCCATCATTGAATAACACCACCTTAGTCATTTTACAATCTCTTCCCAAATTCTATGTTATTGAAACTGAAATTTATGTAAAATCATTCCAAATAATTCCAAATCTCTTGTTATTCAATTAAGAATTTATAAAAACCATATCAAATCTACTGTTATTCAAACTTCACAAATTTTTTTTAAGAAAATATTAAAAAATGATTTGGAGAGACTTTAGCTACCTTTTTAGTTCAAAAATAAGAAGAAAACAATCACACCTCTAGAGGTGGTATTTGATTAAAAAAACACATGGCTAATAATTTCGTTATCAATTAGGGTTTGGAGATTTTGATCCCAATTCAAATGTTTTTATGTATGTGTTAATTAGCGTCAATAGCTTTGCCCGTGACTCGAGGAGAGTTACGGAGAATTCGTCATATCAAGATTTTAGTCATGAGTGCACCAACGAGTCTGTACATGAGTCATGTACCTAGTCCACGAAGGAAAAATATGGCTGAGTCTCATCACTATTATATTGGTTTAGTTTCTGAGAAGATTTTATCGGTTTTGACCTTTGTGCTTGGTGGTTCGTCTATAGATTCACGTTGGTAAGCTTCTTTATACTCGTTTTCTTGTTTCCATTCATTTGAAATTAACTGAAATTTTGGTTTCATGTTGAGGAATGTGTGGGTTGTATACAGATTACGGATCAAGGCTTTCAAAGGAAAAACTTCATCTCGTAGATATAGACACTTTTAAGATGATCATTTCTTAATCCACACACACACTGTCACGAAGTTAACCATAAGCAATAGAGATCAGCCATGTCGAAACCATAATACTACTCTCTAATATAATCTCCACGTTTCATCGTATCAATTGCCTTAGTCTTATTATCTCATTTACCTTGAAATCAAAGATCAATGTTTCTGTAGGTAGAGAGAGAACCATAAGTTTGGTTAAAACTGAAGCTTATCTTCCTCTGTATAGTTTGTACCTGCAACAGTAAAAATAAGAAACTAGAAAGAAAAAAAACACAAGTAATTGTTTATGAATTTTAAGCACAATCCTCTAATAATATACGACATATTACAATATTTGTATCCTTGATCCAAAGTGAATGATCTCCATTAGTAACAAGACATAGCCGAACATGTGAAGAAATATACAAACTAGTGATTTCTCTTTACTTTTGTGATACCAATTGCAGTTGCACCGTTCCATCAATTATTCAGAAAACTGAGCTAGCAACCAACTTCTGATTTTACTCCACTCTCATCCGAGTTTCAACTTATGATGTTATATAATTTGTGAGGGTTTTGCTAACAAGATACGAAGTCTTGGGGGGGGGTTTCAAATCGTTGGCTTCTTCTTTTTTTTTGTTAATAAATCACTCCAATAAATCTCACCAAATTACCAATTATTTTTCTTTTTAAAAAATTAAAAAACTAACAAATCAATACACCCCCCTTAATTCCACCAAATCCCTCCAAATGTTTAATTCAATACACCCCCCTTAATTTTTTTAAAAATCTTTTTATCCCACATCAATTATATATAATACGAAACTTCTAAAATTTTGTTATATATAATATGATTTTAGGTGAAATATGTTATGGTTTAATGTATGTAAATTTTCTATATTTTTTTTTTGACAATGCAATAATATAAATTTTTAATTTATGAATAATTGTTCGAATTAATTATCATATGCAATAGCACCGGCTATCACCTAGCTATATCTTCACCTAATGAATTTTTTTAAAGAAAAAAACAATCATAACCAAGTCAATCCTTGAAGATATATGTGAAACATGGAATATATAAGTTGATAGGTACACTACATTATTTGAATTCCAGATTTATAGACATTTTTGCAAAAATTTATTCTATCTTATTTTCATTTTGCAAAAATTTCTTCTATCTTATTTTCATTTGTTCCACAATTGTAAGGTTGCATGAATTCAACATTTCTACATGGTTGATCATGGAAATCAAAACTTTGGATAGTAAGAAATGTTGCAATTCATGCAACCTTACATTATGGAACAAATGAAAATCAGATAGAATTTTTTTTTGCAGAAATGTCAGGTGTATCAAACTCTTTAGTTCGGTCCAATATGGTGTTACTATTTGACTTATAATCATTTTCTTGTGGTGAAAAAAATACATAATATTGATACATATGAAGTTCACAAAAGTTAATACAAAACAATAAAAGTTCGATATGTTGCATAAGTAAAGTTTCAATAGTTTCTTATGCTTTTTGGTAATAATGATGTCCAGATTGGTTTGGGGATGAAAACAAATGGACACAATTTTCTTTCCTGTTAACTAGCTATATTAAGACAAAACTTTTATAATATATCATCCTTGCAAGGGAAAATATTCACACAGAAAAAAAAAACTGATTAACACACTCCTCATCAAGTTTTCTCATTGATTTCGATCTAAAATAGTGAGAAAAAATGGATTACTAGAGAAAATGAAAATAAAAAATAGGTCTTATATTTTGGATTTTTCTAATTTGTTTCAAATAATAAAAGACAGAAAGTAAATGGACTATAATAAGACTTTGCACACAAATCATGTTTTACTTAAAACCCAACCAACTAAAAAAGGCCCACTAAAACTTTGAGCCCATTTCAGCGAGGGAGGCGCTACTCTTTCGCTTTGACCTATTTCTAACCGTTGCCACTTGCACTAATACAAAAAGCAAAAATCTCTTTCCATAGTCAGACAATTTCCACGTGGACGGCAGAGATCAACTAACCCGCGCGAAGACAGAACCGTTAGATGTAAAAAGCTGAAAAGACAGTTATACCCCGAACAAGAATCAAATTGATTATAAATACATGTTCTAAAACCCTAAGCTGATAAATATCTTCACGCAGCTGTCTAGGGTTTTTCGCCTCTTTCTCAACTCTCTCTCGAAAACCTAGCAGTCGTCTCTTTCTTAGTTCTCCATGGGCAAGTCTAAATCCGCCACCAAAGTAATCTTCTTCTCCCCTTGATGGCTTTCTTTTCTGTTCTTCTTACTCTGTCTCGATCCTCTCTGTTCCTGTTTGGTCTTACGATTTTAACGAGCTTTGATTTGTGTGTTTTTCGTGTGTTCAGGTTGTTGCAGCTCCTGCTGCCACTAAGCCTTTGAAGAAAGGTATGAACTTTGGTTTACTTTTACCTTAGATGATTTGGTCTCTGTCTTTCTCTGTTACATAACGAGTTTGGTATTGAAAGTTTGCATTTTTATGTCTATGTTGCTTGTTCTGGTATAGCTGATGGAATATGTTGTTTAATTTGTTTGACTCATGAACTTTTAAGGTCTATTAATTCAATAAGCGTTGTTTGTCTGTTCTCTGTTGTATATTGACTTGTTAATCTTGAATTTGGAACCCTTAATGTTGAGATTGAACGTTTTATTGATTTAAACTTTGTTTGCTGATTATCTTTAGGTAAGAGAGAGCCTGAGGATGATGTTGATACCAAAGTGAGTCTAAAGAAGCAGAAGAAAGACGTGATTGCTGCTGTTCAAAAGGAAAAAGCTGTGAAGAACGTACCTAAGAAGGTTGAGAGCTCTGACTCATCAGATTCTGAATCTGAGGAAGATGAGAAGGTATAACTTTGACTGTCTTAATTTATTTTTGTTGGTTAGAGCATGTGAATTGAGTAATTTCTAATCAGCTTTAATACATCTGACAGGCTAAGAAAGTTCCAGCCAAGAAGGCTGCTTCAAGCAGTGATGACTCATCTGATGACTCTTCTTCAGATGATGAGCCTGCACCCAAGAAGGCCGTAGCTGCTACTAACGGAACTGTTGCTAAGAAGTCTAAGGATGACTCATCTTCTGATGATGATTCGTCAGACGAGGTTAATTTCTTATTCTTATGAAGTTTATGTCTTGTTTCATAAGAGTTGTGCTAACACAGTTGGCTCTTGGCTGTTACCAATAATTTCAGGAAGTTGCTGCAACCAAGAAGCCTGCTGCTGCTGCTGCTAAAAAGGCCAAGGCTGAGAGTTCGTCTGAAGATGATTCATCTTCTGAAGAAGTAAGCATCTCATAAGTATTTTGTAGGATGCTTTAGAATTATCTTTTGGACAACATTTAATTTACAATATTGATTGGAAAATAATTAGGAACCTGCAAAGAAACCAGCTGCTAAGACTGCCAAGCCAGCTGCTAAAGATTCTTCTTCCTCTGATGAGGACTCAGATGATGATTCTGAGGATGAGGTGATAAATTTTATCTCGTACTTGTTTTATCTTCAGTTTTCTGTTTGTTGAAACTAGTTGGTATTTGTTTAATTTAATTGTATGTGTTCAAATAGATCTCTAACTACTTCTTTAATTAAAATAGAAGCCTGCTACCAAGAAAGCAGCTCCTGCTGCTACCAAGGCTGCAAGCACCTCAGATTCATCAGAAGAAGATTCTGATGAGGTTAGCTTTGACATAATTGATTTGATTTGTTTATGATTCTTTTCAAACAGCTTTTGTATTTTCTATAGATCAGTCATTGACATCATCCATGTGTCTGTTGATATTTGCAGGAAAGTGAAGATGAGAAACCTACCCAGAAGAAGGCTGATACTAAGACTGCTAAAAAGGAGAGCAGTAGTGATGATTCTAGCGAATCTGAGGAATCTGAGAGTGAAGACGAGAAAGAAACCCCAATGAAAAAGGTGCTAGCAATGGTTTCTTACTCTTTGATATCTTTTCGCAAATGTTATAATTGCTACAATGGTTTCTTCCTGTTTGCTGATAGAATCTCACTTTACTGTATTAAAAACAGAGCTCTGATGTAGAAATGGTTGATGCTGAGAAATCAAGTGCTAAACAGGTATGAACCCTTTCTGGTAGCATCTTTTTGCCTCTTTCTTTTATGTTTTGTTATGTTGAAGTTAATTTTGTTTATTATGCAATGCATTGACTTTCAGCCAAAGACACCTTCCACTCCTGCTGCTGGTGGATCAAAGACACTCTTTGCTGCCAATCTTTCTTTCAATATTGAAAGATCAGATGTGTAAGTACCCAACACCTTCGATTTCCACTCTTGTCTTGGTGAGAGTTTATCATGACCTGGTATCTTATCCTCAATGTGCAGCGAGAATTTCTTCAAAGAAGTTGGTGAAGTTGTTGATGTTAGATTCTCTACCAATAGAGATGATGGTAGTTTCAGGGGATTTGGCCATGTTGAGTTCGCTTCTTCCGAAGAAGCACAGAAGGTGAGGGTTTTTACTTATGAATGAGAATATTTTAGTAGTCATCATTTGACTCTACAATTGCTTATTTAAATCCTTTGTACTTTAGGCGCTGGAATTCCACGGTAGGCCTTTGCTCGGTCGTGAGATTCGTCTTGATATTGCTCAGGAGAGAGGTGAGAGAGGCGAGAGACCTGCATACACTCCACAAAGCGGGTATGTTAATTTTCCATGATTTGGAGATTTGTTTCTGCAAGAAAGTTCCATTTGTTGATAATCTTCTCTTATTCAAATTATTGCAGCAACTATAAAAGTGGTGGTGATGGTGGTGATGAAAAAAAGGTTTTCGTTAAGGGATTTGACTCTTCACTTTCTGAGGATGATATCAGGAACGCTTTGACTGAACATTTCAGTTCATGTGGAGAGATCAAAAGTGTATCTGTTCCAATGGACCGTGATACTGGCAACTCCAAAGGGTTTGTTATTTTTACTCTCTCCTAGTTGTCACCAGTTTGTAAAATTTGTCTATTGAAAGTTAAATGCTAACTAAATGAATATGTTTTTATCTTTTCAGTATTGCTTACGTCGCCTTTTCAGAAGGCAAAGAGAAGGCGTTGGAATTAAATGGAAGTGACATGGGAGGATGGAGTTTAGTAGTCGATGAGCCTAGACCACGAGATAACAGTGGTGGTGGATTTGGAAGGGGTAACGGTCGTTTTGGTAACAGTGGTGGCAGAGGAAGAGATGGAGGCCGTGGTCGTTTTGGTAACAGTGGTGGCAGGGGAAGAGATGGAGGCCGTGGTCGTTTTGGCAGTGGTGGTGGCAGGGGAAGAGATGGTGGTCGTGGAAAACCTAGTTTTTCAGGTAGATAAATTGTTCTTGATTCATGTTTTTCTAGGTTCTTTATAACAAGTTAACATGTTATTAATTCTTGATATATATTGCAGGTAAAAAGACTACCTTCGGTGATTTCGAGTAGAAGCTTCTGTAGAAGAAAAGTCTCTTCATATGTTGTTAACTTGTGATACTTCGCTTCCTTTTATTGTTTCGTTTCTTTTTTGTTCTAGTTTCGTTTCTGTCAGAACCTTAAATTTTTGTCTGAATGTTAAGTTAAGCTCAATTTTGAGTGCTTTGGGTGTTAAATCAGTAATCTTCTTCTACCATAATTTATATACCTATGTTTGAGCCTTACATATGATTCGATTGGTTAGGTAGACAACAAAGCATACTCTGCCAATGGACACAAATTTACATTGCTCATATTTAGTCTCAACTTGGTTGGCTATTTTCACATCTTTCACTCATAAGAAGCATAAACAAAAGGAAAGCAGAAAGGGTATTCTTTAACTAGTTGTAACTCAAAACAGAGACTTTAGCTTGAGGACCACCTTGAACATAGACAAAATCATAAGCTTGTCCCGGTCTCAAAGTGTTTTGCCATTGAGGAAGCTGGTAAGTATACTTCTGTCCCGTTGGGTTTAAACCCCAGATAGGTCCTGAGAGATCTTCAATCTTAAGCTTGAGATCTGATATGGGTTTTTGAGAATTGTTCTTGATGATCACTTTGTGCCTATAGTATCTTGTGTTCCCGGCTATCCAGTTGGCAGTTATCGAATGAAGAAACTCGATTTGTGCACCTGATTGTTTTGGACTGTATGTTGTCGGTGTTGCTTTGTAGGATATAACTGTGACAGTTTGAGAGGAAATGAGGATCAGACACTGTAGAGAAGTTGCATTGGAAGCTGTAAGTAAAAATGAACAAACCTGGTGGTTTTGTAGTTACATAAGGTTTATACGATCCTCCTCCATAAGATCCTACAATATTTCAATACATTACTTGGTGAGTCATGGACTATAAGAGTAACGCTAAAAGGCTTTGGGCTCACGGTTTATTGTTTTGTTACCTAAATTTCCTCCATAGAGTTTAGCGAATAAGCCAACAAGTGGAGCTGTTCCAGACAAAGTTGGTTCTGATTGCTCGTAATTTGAGCGGTCATCGGAATAGTTATCATTCTCGTCCGGTCCACCAACAAGAGCACCATATATAACATTAGGATCAGCTTGAGACCTTCTATACCAAGAATCAAATCCTTGAACACAACTCACAAAAGAACGTTGAACAAAGATTGAAGGGATTGAAGCGCCTCTATGGTGAACACGGATTGGATATTTCGGTCCATATCCAACTACATAACTCATTCCTTGACGGTTCTTTCCAAGAATGTAATCAGCCTGAACCAGAAAAACTCGGGTTATTAGATTGAAACCAACGAGAAAATTGTTTTGGTTTCTTGGGAGGGTTTGATTATTACCTGAGATCTAGCAAAGTCAAGAAGTGCTTGAGGTTGCACCAAACCATCAGGACAGTTGAGTTTAGCATTTGCTGCAGAGAGATAATCGGAATAAACCGCGAGAAGATAAGCAGCCGCGGATGCATACTGCAGATTGTTCCACTCTCGAACATACATTAAACCACCAGGAGTTGTTTGAATGTTGTAGCCACCATTCTTCTTGAGACAAGCACAAGCAAAGTAGTCGGCTTTCGTCTGATATTGCTTCAATGTCGAAGTATACACACCGCCTTTCCCTTCTAGCAAGATCTATACACATACAAATCAAACAAGTACCAAGATTAGTATTCTTGAAACCGTGAAAAAACATTCTTTATCAACACTAGTTTACCTTGGAGAGAAGGATTTGAACACCGGCATATTTGTTATCCCAAGAGAACTCTTTCATTCCCCAGCCAGTTCCGCCCATGTAACCGGAATTGTCCATAGCATATTTCAAGTAATACTGATCCCCGGTGGCGCGGTGTAGCCAAGCTGCCGCCCAAAGAAGCTCATCCTTCAAAGAATTACACAAGAGAGACATTTTAGTATTGGAACAACATTCAATGGAAGAACAATTGGAGAGATTTCAGAGAAGGAAAGTGTTGAGAGAATATATACCGAGTAACCAGATGACATGTAGAAAGCTTTTGCATTTGGGATTGAATCAGTGTATAGTCCTCTGTACTTGTCAGCAAATGAGAAGAGCTGAAATATACAAAAACACGTTTCAAAATGTTGAATATCTAAACCGAACCGGATTCATAAACCAAAGCCGAACCGAAATTTATAATTATAAAATCAATAGAGGTAAACCGATATAGTCAAACCAAACCGCACTAAATAACCGAATATCCAACCCTACCCACAACCATTGACACTTAAATGTAGAAAAATAGAGGTATGAAATACCAAACCGAAACGGACCAAACCCGTTGGACCTAAACTGTTAAAACCGGAGGTTGAACAAAAAAAGAAACGAACCTCTTTGGCATGAGTTAAGAGGAGAGCAGAGTAAGAGGAGTTAAATGGCTTGAAAGCCAAGGAAGCAGCGGCTAAAGCAGCAGCGGTTTCACCAGCTAAGTCTGAGCCAGGATGATACTGGTCAAGCTTGTAAGCTGTTCTTGAAGTGGTCATGTCCTCTGGTCGTTCCCAACAGTAATGGTCTGATTCTCCATCTCCAACTTGACCCCATAGAACATTGGGCTGAGGATGAGCCTTGATGAAGTAATCAGTACCCCATCTGATTGACCATAATGTCTGTTGCATTTGGTTCGAGCTGGATAGCTCTTTCCGGTTATCAACCGCGGCCCACGATAGCATTGTCACTGCGAAAGCCATTGGTAAACCGAATTTCACGTGGTCTCCTGCATCGTAATATCCTCCTTCCAAGCTCACCTATTCATTCATACATACACAAACCTCAATATCATTTTATAACATGGTAATTTTTTAAAAATTCACTTACAAAATCTAGCAAATTCTTGTAACGATGACAACATATCATATTTTTACATCATTTTTAATTAATATATAGCGTTATATAAATATAATGTAATTCTCATAAATTTGTTTAAAGATAAGTACTGATAGTATTCAATCATATTCATCCTGTTTGGATTATGATGTAACACATCGATAACACAAACACAAACCACTAGACTACATGTCCTAGTCGAGTTCGATGATACTTAACGGGTACTATTACTATTTTCATATATATAGCTTTTATAAATTTGACTACAATATTAGTATTATGTGTGTATATGGACTTACTCCTTGAGCAAGACCATCCTTGAGACCAGAGTGGCTACGCCATTTGACACGCTGAGCAGCTGGCAACTTCCCTGATCGTTGAGCCTCAAAGAACAAGAATGTCTTGTCAAGGGCATTTCCGTAGTTATAGTACTCCGCTGCCGCGGTTGCTGCCGCTAGAAGAACGGTCAGCAATAGGCTTACGCCGAACAATGATCCACCAAACTTCCTCATTTCTCTATATCAATCTTAATTCTAAGTTTTCTCTCCTAAGAAAATTTCTTTGTTCAAAATTGTGAATCTCTGATGTGAGTTAGTATAGACGTGGGTGCATTTATATAGACATATTGAGAAAGAGAGAGATTGTGTGTGAGTTTGGTGAGAGAGAGGAACGTTGAGAATCAAATAGGTACAAACTTGTCTGAACAATCATTATATTGTCTTTGTCTTTATTTGTGTTCGTGTGTGTTATGTGCCTTTGATAATAGTTGTGGACTTCACGTTTTGTGAGAGCTTCTCACGTTGTTCCTCGAGACTTTTGTGTATAAAACTGAACAACTATGACTCACCACGTGTATCTCTTATTTGCCGTTGGATGAAAGTGATATTGACTATGCATTTGATAGAAATAGATGAATGTATCTTGTTTTAAAAATAAAGTTAAAAATGGTTAAGAAGAATATTTGGTTGATTTTTGTTAAGGTGTCAACGGACAAGTAATCCATTCGTGGTATCCACAACTTGTATAGTTGTATACATATATGTATTTTTGTTGTCGTTGAATTGATTTGTATGTTCTGATATGTTTAAAATTTATAGTTTTCTTTTGTCGGTTTAACAGGAAGTTCACTCGGTTTGGGCGGTTGGACCGGACTCCAACGAGTTTGATGCATCACTTGATAATGTTTTGACTCTTCTCTTTATTTCTCAATAAGAGCATCTCCAATGGTGAGAATCCTCTATGGGCTCTCACCATTTTTTTAAGAATAAAATTTTTAAATTTATGAGATGAGAGTTTTTGTTAAAAAATTTTAATTTTGCAAAGTCCAATGGTAGGCTCTCTTTGTGGGGTTCTCAGGAAAAAATTAAATTATATTTTTAATTATTTTATTTCATAAAACTGAAAAATATTATAATTCATAACATATTAAACATACAATAATTTCATACATTTGAAAATAAATTTGCAAAAAAAAAAAAAACGATTTTGAACTGCTGCTTTCCCTTTTTTTTTAGTTTTTCTTTCTAGAACTTAGACAAAATAATAAATGGATGTCACACACACATATTCATATCTAAGTATTATTATTCAATAAAACCATATTACCAAATCATAAAAAATAATTTAGATTACCATTATCATATTTATCGTATAGTTATGAAAAAACATACACAAAAAACTACAGTGACCTACATTAAACAAACATTAAAATAAAATAAAACCCTACTCTTTCTTTCGTTATTACTTCACTGCCACTTCTCCTTTGCTCTGATGAGTTTCTTTCATTACCAAAGATGATATTAAGTATTGTGATGTTTTTGAATCCAAGAAAGTAACAATTTTATTCAGGATCATGGAAACAAACAAGAAGCTACTCAAACAACACAATGACCAATTCAGCAGTCAAACACAGAAAGTCAAGACAACAAAAAGGAAAGAAAAAGACACATGAGCGACCTCTGTTCTTGATATAGCTATTAAAAGTAGATTAGACTGAGATCAAAAGTAGAAAACTGATGGTACCCATTTAACAAATCTTCCAAGCCTTAAAACATACTTGTTCCAAAACTCTCAGGGACATAACGTCGAACATTTGGTGTGCGTTATTATTCAAAACAAAGCTCTTTCAACTTCGTCGCTGCTGATTCGTCAATTGAGTACTGCAAATGATTGAAAACAGACAATTAACACAAAGGATACCTAGAATCTATGATCTGAAATAAACCCAGAATCTTCGTTACCTTCATGGCCGGTTTCGGAGTTTGATTTGTTTGTGTCTCCATTTGTACCTGCAAAATAATTGAACAAGAAATTCAACCCAAGTAAACCACCAGAAAATTCATAATCCCAAAAGCACTTAATATTATAAAGAGTAGAGATAGTTGTTTACAAACAAGAACAAAACCAAAAATTAATCGTCGGGTGTTGTTCAGGTTCAGCAGCACATCCAAAACAACAAATTCCACAATCAAATTGCAAAACAATAACGTAGAACCCTAAACAAAACACTCCACGATTCCAAACAAAATTGCAGAGATAAATTCTTTCAAATCCTGAACATCACCATCCATTATCCGTTTCCACCTAACTACAAGTAAGGAAAGAAATCGAAGAACAAGAAGAAGAGCTTCATGATTAATTTTCACCTAACTACCCAAATTGGATTTCGATCAATCTCTAACTGTAATCGAAAGCCCAAGGGAGATCATAATTCCAAGGGTTGGCTGATTTTTCAGCCCTTAACTATTCACAAACTCAAGGATTCCCCCTATACTTTTTTGCTCTTAAAAAACCACCAACAACTAACACTTTTCTTAAAAAATCACCACGTACTTTCGGATTCACCTTGAAAAATACGCCTCCAATTGAACCGGCCATTAAACCGGGTTTAACCACAAATTCGCGTTTACTGTACCGCGATTAGGATTACCCGGATGATTATCCATGACCCGTTAAGAAAACGACGTCGTTTTCACTTGTCTCTCTATGTCTCAAAATAAAGCCAAAACGACGTCGTTCTTGTATATAAAATCGATTTGGGGGTTTAGGGTTCATCTTCATCAACATTTGGTACTAAATTTCTGATTTCAGCTAACTTATCATCAGATACTAACCTAATCTTCCTATCTCTAGTGACCACAGGATCCTCATCTTCATTATCACTCTCTGGAATTACACCACGACGAATCTGAAACGCATCAAACCAATTTGCCACTGCGTCCTCCATCTCGAACTCAAACCTCTCCATTATGTCTTCTTCACGCAGAACTTTGTTCTCTTTTCTCCTCGGTTTCTTCTCTCTTTGACCTTCTTCACCTTCACCTTCCTGTCATTTTCTCTTCCTTCGGATTTCATCTCTGCCACCGTCTCCATCATTCTCACAGTCTCTGTCGTTGTTGTCACACTCTCTATCGTTGTCTCCTCCATCTTTCTCAGTCTCACTGTCGGAGTCGTCTCCTCCAACACTAGCGTCCTCACCATCTCCCTCATCTCCGCTTTCAATTCCACTGTCGACCACATCACTCTCACTCTCTGGAGGCTCGAAATCAGGATCATCATGATCACTTTGATACACTAATTCTTTCCATGGCGTATAATCCGATGTATCCCCAACCCAATCAGACATAATTCCAAACCCTAACCCAGAAATTGCAAAATTCCCTTTTCCCTTTCTTTGAAGAACCCTAATTTTGAAATGGGTGAACAATGACGATTCACAATTTTTAGAAATTGAGAGAAGAGTGAAACGACGTCGTTTTCTTAACTGGTTATGGATAATCATCCGGGTAATCCTAATCGCGGTACAGTAAACGCGGATTTGTGGTTAAACACGGTTTAATGACCGGTTCAATTGGAGGCGTATTTTTCAAGCTGAATCCGAAAGTACATGGTGATTTTTTAAGAAAAGTGTTAGTTGTTGGTGGTTTTTTAAGAGCAAAAAAGTATAGGGGGAATCCTTGAGTTTGCGAATAGTTAAGGGCTGAAAAATCAGCCAACCCTAATTCCAAAGAGAGAATCGAGGAAACAAGAAAAAATCGCGGCCAATAGAAACGGGACACGTCAGCGTCTCTCTTCCCTTCCAAAATCTCTCTCAAGAGAGACAACTCTCTCAAGAGAGACAGCTCTCTCAAAAATATATCATTTTGATTTATTTTTTTACACTTTTAATCTGAGAAACCATGGAGAGAACTCCATTTTTGAACCATTGGAGATGCTCTAAGCCATACCAAAATGAAAATTGGAAAGTTTATAAGCTTTTCGGGTTGACCAAATAATATATATCAGGTGGATGAGTTATAAATTTTGCAATTTGTTAAACATATGGGTTGGCTGATTTTTCAGCCCTTAACTGTTCGCAAATTCAAGGAATCTCCCTATACCTTTTCGCTCTTAAAAAACCACCAACAACTAACAATTTTCTCAATTAAACATCACATACTTTCGGATTCAGCTTGATAAATACGCCTCCAATCGAACCGGCCATTAAACCGGGTTTAACCACAAATCCGCGTTTACTGTACCACGATTAGGATTACCCGTATGATTACCCATGACCTGAGAGTTAAAACGACGTCGTTTTGACTCTTCTCTTTATTTCTCAAAACAAAGCCAAAACGACGTCGTTCTTGAATATAAAATCGATTTGGGGTCTAGGGTTCATCTTCCTCAACACTTCCTCAACATTTGGTTCGAAATTTCTGAAATTGCAGAGACAATGAGCACAACGAGCTACTACTCATCCGCTGCAAGTTCGGCGAATCGTTTTTTTCCTCATGGTGTCCCGTCGAAATGCTGGTGTGGAGAGGATATCATCACATTCACATCGAAAACGAAAGAGAATCCATACCGGAGATTCTACCGATGCGCGATTGCAATGAAGGTACGTTTTTCTATTTGGTTAAATTGTTGAATTGAAAAGACCATGGAGTATTGATCAGAGGTTATGTGTATAGAGGAAAAATGAGGATCACTTGTTCAAATGGGTTGATAAAGCTCTCTTAGAAGAAATTAGGATGGTGGAGGAGAAGTGTAAGTTAGTTGTAGCTGATGTCAATGCCTTGAGGATGGAAGTGATGTGTACTATGAAGCTCCAAAACGAAAACTTTAAGAAGATGGAGGATGCGATGAGTAAGAAGATAGAGGATGAAGTGAAGAACATGAAGGAGAATGTGGAGGAGCTGGGTCATGTTATGGCTAAGTCAGCTTTGAAGACAGTAGGTGTTGCTTCTGTTATTCTTTGCTCAATTGTATGGCTAAACGACGTCGTTTTGGCTTTGTTTTGAGAAATAAAGAGAAGAGTCAAACCGACGTCATTTTAACTCTCGCGGTACAATAAACGCGGATTTGTGGTTAAACCCGGTTTAATGGCCGGTTCGATTGGAGGCGTATTTATCAAGCTGAATCCGAAAGTATGTGATGTTTAATTGAGAAAATTGTTAGTTGTTGGTGGTTTTTTAAGAGCGAAAAAGTATAGGGGGATTCCTTGAGTTTGACAATCTTTTTAAAGCCAATAAGCCATACCAAAATGAAAATTGGAAAGTTTATAAGCTTTTCGGGTTGACCAAATAATATATATCAGGTGGATGAGTTATAAATTTTGCAATTTGTTAAACATATTAATAATAATTATTATTTTTGAATTAAAAACAAGTCATATCTTACGAAAATCATGAACTATTCTAAATCCAGTAAGTATCCATTTAACTCAAAGATCAAATTGAATCTAACAAAATCTCAAACTGACATAGCAAAACCATGGCTTCAGCTTCGGTTTCTCTTGAGAATCACAAGTTTGCCATTATAAATTTATAAGTTAGCATTGTAGCATAGAAGAGGGAGATTTATAAATTATATTTGTTTCCTTATTGGATTTGATTTTGATTTTGATTTAAGTAGAGTTGGTTTTTGGTATGGAGGGTTGGGTAGGTTAATTGAATTTATAAACAGTTTCTGAAAAAAATATGTACATTTTAAAAAGAGATCTGTCAAATTTAATATATATCTATATATATATATATTAGTTATAAGTTATATCAAGTTTTAAAATATGATAATTTGTTTACACGATATTTTGAAAATTCAAAGTAGTGTTTTATAATTAGAAAAAGGTAAAAATGTATGTATTTCAATAAACCTAGAATTTAATAGAACTTTTTAAATAAGACATGAGTTAAATTATTTTAAAGCTCTGAAGTGACCAAAAACCAAAATCAAATCAACAACCTATTAAAAACCCTTAATAAACTAAAACCAAAACCGGAATAAACCTCCACAGCTGAACCGCCATAACCGAGTCGTATGGTTTTCCATACTCTAAAAACCAAGACTACACAACACTAAAAACCGTCAAAGCCAGAATCGAAATTGTGACTAAACCGGCACCTAAGAACCGACTCGTTTTCCTCACGGCGTGGTTTTTCTTGTGAGTTGAAGAAGCGGCTAGAGACGAAGAAGGTGGAGGAGATTGCGGCGGAGATTCGACCTCCATGACTTTAATAATCATTTTCTGACCCTTTTCACAGTGGCCTGAGACGCCGCTTATGAAATAAAACAAACCGGGACGGTCCAATTTGAAAACCGTATCGTCGTGGTTGGAGTATAACTCCGGTTTGGTCGTCTGGCATTTCTTGTACTCGTCTTCTGTTACCACCAAAACAGAGTCTTTCTTGTACTTGAAACCTTCCACCAAATCAAAACAAAATTCAATATATGCATTTACGATGATCATAATAGTTGATAAATGATATAAAAGAAATTCTTACGGATAGTGTCGCCAACTTTAAACCGGTTTTTGGAAGCCCATTGGTTAAACATATCACTCTGGTTACTAGATTGTGGTATGTTCCAACCATTTTCTCCTCCAGCTTCAAATTCAGTACATGACACAAGTGAAAACACGTTAAACATTACGAAGATCGAAAGGAGAACAATCTTTTGTACACCCATTTGAAAGAAAAAGAGAATTCTTTTGTTTAATTTCTGAAATTGAGGGATAGTTCTTGGAGAAAATGTTAATATTGAGGCTTTTTTGTTTGTGCTTTTGGTTTGAATATAAGTAGTGTGAGAGTGCAGCTAGGTTAGTTTGGCTCTTGTCCACAACTTGAGGGATATCTACTAGATATTGTTTTGACTTATTATTTGCTAATTTGAAATTTGAATTAAATTTTCAAAGAAATACGACTAGTTGAGGAAATTCTGTTTTTGTGAGGATTTTGCGTTGACATCGGAAATGTGTTATATAATTCGATAATTTTGTTGTGTTTTGGGATTTTTGGTAGAATTTGAAATGTTTAGGTGATACTTGGATTAAGTGAGAATAACAGGGACCTATTTGTAAAATAGATAAACTAGATGTGAGAACTTTTCGATTTGCGGAATATGAAGAAGACTAAAACGACAAGAGGTCCCGTCGTTTCCGTGTTTATTCCGTCACCACCATCTAAACCCACTCCTTCATTCACCTGAGCCGCGACGAAGAAGAAGATGGAGGCGAGTCTGTAAGATTAGGGTTTATACGATTCTAGGAGGAAGAAACTAGACGACGAGCAAGAGGAAGCTGCGTTTATCTGGAAGATTTAACAATGGCACAAGATTCAGAGAAGAGATTTCACCAAATCATGGACAAGCTCTTTACCCCATCGAAATCTCAGCTTCCTTCTTCCTCCACCAGGTCAGTTTCTTCTTGCTGGTTACTGTTTTATACTGTGCATCGATTCATCTCCATTATCTGAGTGCCATTGTTTCGCTGATTGAAGTGTGGATAATCAGACTGTACATCAATACTTTGGTTTGTGTAGTTCTTCTGTAGAGCAACAATCAAGAGGCAAGAAGCGTCCAAATCCTTCATCTGCGTTAGCATTGGTTGAGCCAAAGACGGTATTAGCTACCATTGATAGGTCTTCAGCTTTGAAGGTTCCTGCTGGAACATCGCCGTCTGGTCTTTGTAGGCCGTGGGATAGAGGAGATCTTATGAGGAGGCTAGCTACTTTTAAGTCCATGACTTGGTTTGCCAAGCCCCAGGTTTGCTTCTTGTGACCTTTATACCGCAATTTTCCTTCCATTAGAATTCAAGTCATTTCTATCTGGTTGTTGTATGTCCTTGCTATGAAATTCTTAGCTTTTTTTCTTGTGTGTGTGTCTGTGGCGGTAGGTTATTAGTGCGGTAAATTGTGCGAGGAGAGGGTGGGTGAATGATGATGCAGATTCTATAGCTTGTGAATCTTGTGGAGCTCATCTTTACTTTTCAGCCCCATCTTCTTGGTCCAAGCAACAAGGTATGGTTAAAATGTTTTTTGTAGAATCATCTCTATGTACCTAATACTCTGACAATTATGTGTTGTGACCTCACTGAAATTGAAAATCTTCTCTGTGATATCTTACAGTGGAGAAAGCGGCATCAGTCTTTAGCTTAAAGTTGGATAGTGGACACAAATTACTTTGTCCATGGATAGAGAATTCATGCGAAGAAACGCTTTCTGAGTTTCCTTCAATGACACCGCAGGATTTGGTAGATAGACACGAAGAACGGTCAGAAGCTTTACTTCAACTTTTGGCCCTTCCTGTTATTTCACCATCAGCCATTGAGTACATGAGGAGCTCAGATCTGGAGGAATTTCTCAAACGACCTATTGCACCTGCCAGTAGTGACACCGCAGCAGAAAGCTCTCAAACAGAATCCCTTATCAATCATGTTGGAGCGAGCCCGGCTCAACTTTTCTACCAGGTTTGACCTGCACCTAAAAGATATGAATTATTCCTAGCTAACGTAGAACCCTTTGCAATGCTATTATCGTTCCAGCCTTTGGCAAAACATTTCCACATCCATGCTTTTCGTTTTAGGTACTTATATGATTTTGGTAGGATAGGATGATCCTTCTTTTACTGTGCATTTATCTATAGACTTTACTTTGTTCTGTCCAAATTATTCTTCTTGATTTTTTCGATGTTGTACAGTTAATTAGTGGTTCACTTTATTCACTATGGCATCTTTTCTGAGAGGCTTTTGGTATAATATTGAGCCATATCTGATAGTAATACTGTTGCATTGGTATTTGCAGGCACAAAAACTTATCAGTTTATGTGGCTGGGAACCGCGGGCACTTCCTTATATTGTGGATTGCAAAGATAAATCGAGTGAGACCGCTAGGGGTATAGATACTATTGATTTACTGCCAGAAACTGCTACCCGCGAGCTTCTAAGCATCTCTGATTCAACCCCAATTCCAGATGGAGTATCAGGGAATAATGAGAACCCAACACTTCCTGACACATTAAACTCTGATCCGAGTTCTGTTGTACTTGACTGCAAGCTCTGTGGGGCCTGTGTTGGTCTATGGGTTTTCTCAACTGTTCCAAGACCACTAGAATTGTGTAGAGTCACTGGTGATACCGAAATTAGTACAGAGAAACATCCCAGGGGTGGTACTCTTCAAAATCAACCTTCGAGCTTGAAGTTTACCATAGCAGGAGGACCCCCAGCAACAAAACAAAACTTCAAAGCAACAATATCGCTGCCTATTATCGGGAGGAACTTAAGGTCAAGATTTGCTTCTTACTCTAGAGATCATGATCATGGGGATGTCAGTTCTATTCAGGATCAACAGAGTAAAACTGCAGAGAACAACGGTGATGTTACACAAAATAGCGATCAAGTGATGAATGATATAGGAGAGAAGGCTGATGGAGGAAGAAACTCAGCTGATATAGAGAGTGATATTGCACTACAAAACAAAGACAAACAAATGATGGTAGAAAGGTCAAATCTTCCTGATAACAACAAACCAAAGGATTCAACTGCAGGTAAATTGCAAATACAAATTTCTCAGATATTGACAAGCACTAATCTTTATCCAACTTAATGAAACTTTGCTCATAGGTACTTGTTTGAAAGTTCTCATTAAGAGAATGTTCAGCTTAATTATGCGTAAACACATCTTTCTTTGTGAATACAGGAAAATCAGTGACATCAAACAAACAGATGGAATTTGATCCAATCAAGCAACATAGGCATTTCTGTCCTTGGATCTGGTCAACGGGTAGAAGAGGTCCTGGATGGCGACAGACTCTGTCTGCATTACAACGCCATAAAGGATCTTGTCAGACTCCACCGACACCCTCTTCCCTGTTCAAGGTAACACATCCTACTCCATTCTTTTTTCATGCATTCCAATTTACTCGTTTTTTCGTGTTAGAATGGAACAAAGCTGATTACAGATGGGTAGATATAACTCAACTGCGATAATTATCATGTTTTCTCGACATGAGATCATATAAACCTCTTTTGTAGCAACAAATAGCAGGATCTAACAATATTTTAACTTTTTTGGCTGAGAGTGCCACTTATGCCCTACAATTATGCATTACTTTTCCTTGATTTGATATTTTTGGATTCTCTCTGAGCATGAGATAAATGATCAAATCCTAAAGAACAAGAACCACATACATTCGTACAAGGCCCTGTAAGATTATACTTATGTCATAAAAGTCCAATTTTGTGATGTCTTTGATGGTTCTTTATGTGATGTTGTCAGGTAGATGATCCGTTAACATCTGTTCGGAACCTATTTAAGTCGCCATCCCCCAAAAAACGAAAACTGAACGGAGGATCTTCAAGCTGAGACACCAGACGATTTTGTTCCTGAAAAAACTTGAGCCCTCTTGGTCTACACTGTATCCGAAATTTCGGAACTTGATAAAACTGTAACATTCATGTGCTATGAGTTATTTGTTGATTCCTCAGAAAAGTAATCTATATGTTGTTAACCCATTTGACATTGCTAGAGCTTAAATCATATGTATACACATGAGTTTGTACCGGAATTTATCAAAGTCTTTAGACTTTCTAGCTTTGGTAACCATAGCATATAAGTTGAAGTCAACTTTTTAAAAGGCATGGTTAAATAGCTAAGTTTGTTCGTATCGTTCTAGTATCAATTTTGGGTTGAAATAGCTCCAGAGAAAGGTCAGCTACAAATCTGGTGATTAATAGGTGAAAAGGAACTTGCGAATTTTAAGTTTTAGAATCAAATTGAGTGGTCGGTCTTTGATTTTGCTTGCTGATCAAAATCAATGATCCAATAACACATAATTTTGCTTTGGATTTCTAAATCATTTAAAATTCATGAACCAATAAACCATCTTTAGTGGTAGAAGTAGAACACATTACATTGCCTAAAAGGCTAAAACAAATCCTCCATCTCGATGATTGACGTGTATTGCAAATCACTTTCTTTCTTTTTGGCATTATATATTCTTATGAATATTTTGTTACTTGTATATTTCCAAAAAGATAATGTATAGTTTTTATTTTTCCAACTAAACTCAAGTGTGCGGATTTTTCCAGAATTAGGATGAAAAAGACAAGCACAAGTAGATCCCATAGATACAACCATTTCCTCTCGTCATGTCCCACTATCTTCATTTTATTTCCTTAAAAATACTTTTCACATAAAAAGAAAAAATAATAATTCGCAATTGCATGAATACTTTTCTATTTATATAAAATAATTATGTGGACCATCGCCGGATTCATGGCTCAAATTGATGGATTATGTTAACATATCTGTGGTTCTTAAAAATTCATGATTTATATTCAATAACTTTTTTATAGTTTATCAAGTTCATGAAGAGTTTTACCAAAAAAAAAAAAAACAAAAGTTCATGAAGAGCGTGAAGCTCACGTAAAATTACCTTAAACGAGAAAATTACGACAAGAAGTGAGATTCGTACTTTTTATTACATTCTGTGTCAAATACATGTGGATGTCATATGCTTCTGTCAGCTGATGACTCGGACTTTTATGGGCCCCATTTCGTGCGTTACCTTTTCGAGTCTACCAAGTCTATCGCTTGACACGTGTTTGGATCTTAGCGCGTTGTTCATATTAGACTTAAGATAAATCTCTATGTTTAAGTTTTTTTTTTTTTTTTTTTTTTTAAATGGGCTTTAGGCTTTTGGCCCAGACAGAAACAACGGTTACAAAAGCGGGTCAGGCCCAAATCGGAAAAAAAACGCCGAAAAAGAACTCTGACATACGGGCGGTACATCGGAAACAACAGATCTAGCCTACCACACCCGATGCTAACAAGATCTACTCCTTTGCTGTGAAGAAGATGACCTGAAGCTCTTGACTGGAGTTAGCAGTTCACGTCGCCAACCTAGGCATCAACTTACTGATCCCGGAGCTTATCTCCCGGAATAAGCCAGATATGCGACAACCAAGACCCTATCCCTCAACTCCCCGACCTAGCAAGAAGAGGGAACTCGAGTCGAACCCTCCTTTCCAACATCATTCACCATTGGACCACCCAAGACTAACCATGTTAATGATGAAGCTGCAGGTTTTTCTGGGAATGCTACGATCGTCTTATTATCACAAATGAAAGGGCTATATATATAGCCTACAGATGAAGACTCAGTCTTCTACAATTACTTGAAGCAGAAAATTAGCAACCACGTCTAACTAAGTCTAACAACTTGTTGACTCCTTATACATCGGAGACTTATTCAAAACCAATAAACAAACTAAGACCAAATCAAAACCCAACATTGCCTCCCCTAAACTGAAATCGGTAGAATTCAGTTTACCCTGTTGCACACTCCAAGCTTCTCCCTCAGCTTGATAAACGCCTCCAACTTCACCGGTTTTGTCATGATGTCTGCAACTTGATCCCCCGTTCCGCAAAACACCAACTTCACCACTTCTTGTTTTGCCAAATCACACAAATAATGGTACCTCACATCGATGTGTTGTGTACGTCTAAAATCCACCGTACGTTTCAAGTATGTTAACACACTCTTAGCAGCGAGCATATGCTCTTCTTTTGACTTTGCCATGAACTGAGAAATCAAATCGGCCACGTACATCATATGGGGCATAAGCGACCCTGTTTGATTCTTCTCAATATCTTGTAACTCACACCACTTGGCTTCCATTTTCTTCACGTCCACCTGTGAACTTGCAAGATCCCATGTTTCATTCTTCTGAATAGCTTGTAACTCACACCTCATCACTTCCAGCCATTCCTCTTCTTTACATGCTTCTGCAAATTTCACACATACCTTTGCACTTTCTACATCATTGGAGAGATCATGACAGCGGCCTCTCTCTTTACCAGTTTCAAGAGCCTCACCGTCTTCACCGGAAGCACCACCATCTCCACCAGTTTCATTTTCTTCTACATTTTCTTCTTCTTCGAATGAAACAAGAGCCATCAAAAGTACGTCCTCCTCCAATTCTGCATAATATGCTCCCTTCTCCCAATCAGGACATTCATATTGGAAATGTCCTAATTTATGACACTTAAAACACTCAATGGATGCCTTGTCTGGCGTAGCTCTTCCTCGACCTCTGCCACGGCCGCCTCGTAAGCTACCTCGTCCTCTTCCGTAACTGGAACGTTCGTCTTGAGACACATTCAAGACATGCTCCTCCTCCTGAGGTTCTTGCATCCTTCCCTCATGAACCAACAAGCTTCCATGTAGCTCATCAATAGTTAGCGTACTCAGATCATTTGATTCCTCGATTGAGCACACAACATAATTGAATTTCCTGGTTAATGATCTGAGTATCTTGCTCACAATTGTGCTCTGCTCCACGCTTTCTCCATTGATCTTCATTTTGTTTACCACAGACAAGGTTCTTCCCAAGAAGGTGTCTATCTTCTCGCCTTCCTTCATAGCGAGCAACTCGAACTCTCTTTTCAACGCCTGGAGTTGTGCTCGTCTCACCTTTGTTGAACCTTGATACTTCCTTTTCATTGATTCCCAAATCGCTTTTGAAGTTCCTTTGTCAAGGATTGTTTCAAGAATTTCTCTGTCAATGGCTTGAAACAGAAAATTCTTGACTTTAAGATCCTTGAGCTTTGCCTCTTCCACAGCTTTTCTCTGAGCTTCATTCGCTGGTGATGACCCGATCGCCATTGTCGGAATCCCTTCTTCCACCAGGCTCCACATCTCTCTACTCCTTAGAAAGTTCTCCATCGTCATTGACCAAAAGTCATAGTAGCTGTCGAATTTCGGAATAGCCGGCTGCACAAACTTCTCGGATGGGGTTGACATTTCTTTGTTCTTCTTTCTCTCCCTTATTCTTTTTCTTTAAACGACTCACTCTTTCTCTCACTCAACGACTCACTCTTTCTCTCACTCCTCTTTCTATCACTCCTCTTTTACTCACTCGTTTTCTTTTCAACGACTCACTCTTTCTCTCACTCCTCTTTAAACGACTCACTCTTTCTCTCACTCCTCTTTCTCTCACTCGTTTTTTTTTTTACTCAATGATATTTCATTTGAAAATGGCTCTGATACCACATGTTAATGATGAAGTTGCAGGTTTTTCTGGGAATGCTACGATCGTCTTATTATCACAAATGAAAGGGCTATATATATAGCCTACAGATGAAGACTCAGTCTTCTACAATTACTTGAAGCAGAAAATTAGCAACCACGTCTAACTAAGTCTAACAACTTGTTGACTCCTTATACATCGGAGACTTATTCAAAACCAATAAACAAACTAAGACCAAATCAAAACCCAACAAACCAAGCATCAATCCGGTGAAAGGAAAGCCAATCGTGGTGGCGGAAGACGGTTGATGGCCAGTCAGACCGTCATCCTCCAACACCCCACGCGTAGCCATCTAGGACCTGAAAGGGTCCACAGTTAATCCCTTCACAAAGCAGTACACCCACCAATCATGGTCTCGCCTTCCGCCGCGAATCGGAGCCAGATCCACAACCTCCCAGCCATGAGAAACCACCACAAACTCTCGCAGGCGTCCTCAAACCCGCAAGATACGGAGGAGTAGCTTCTCAGAAAGGACGCGAAAGGGGCCGCCGAGAAGCAACGAGACCAGATTTACCACACCTCATACCGCCGGAGATGAATGGCCGTCAACCACCGTATCTCTTCCTGAAACCAGCCGCCAACGATGATGAACTGAAAGTGACGAAACCCTAGATCTACTTGGGAAGAGAGAGAAGAGAGAAAAGTTTTGATCCCTTGATTTTGTTGAAATTCTTTATATCTCCTCGAAATTTTTTTGTTAATGGATTGATTATTCAAGCCTTAATTCGTTTTTCTTTCTTTTCCTAAATTGACACATTCTTCTAATTCGCGTTGAAAATTTGTGTCCTACCAAACATGGTAAATGCTCCACAAGGAGAAACTTTTCTCACGCAGTGCTTAATTGTTATTAAGATTTTTCTTCAACTACCGTACCAATTACACCTATCTATATATAAAAAAAGTGTCAATTATAAATGATTTTGATTGTTTTCTAGATGTGATTGTAATGAAAATACTTTAATAGACGCGGGTTTAGCACCAACACGACCAATAAAATTCATGTTTGGTTTTACAAATTGCATTTAATTTATCTATCTATCTATCTATTGATTATGGTTTCCAGTAGTACTAACCCACGAAAACTAAAAAAACTTATGCCAAATGAAAGGACGATATTTTTTTAAGAAAAACGTCATATATAATGACTTTTTCATATTTACGTAATTGCGAAATGACCAAGCATTATTAGTGATTCATGTGATTAGTAAAATTGTACAAAACTACACAACAATTATTTCATTAAGCAAATTATATGGTAAAAGACTAAAATCAATACATAATCACTTTATCCCAATAACAAATAAAACACGGTCCATGATTTCATAATCAAATTCACGTTTGACCCACTTTAAATTTATTTCCAACTACAAAAAATATTCCAATTTTATACTATTATTTACAAATACAACACATATTGAGAGAGAGAGAGAGTGAGTCACAAGAATTACGACACTAAACCTAAACCCAATTCTCGAGAAAAAAGAGAGAGAGAAAGAGAGAATATATAAATGGGAGATGTACGGAGGATTGTGGTGGTCGTAGAAGATAAACAAGCGGCGAGGACGGCGTTACAATGGGCACTTCACAACCTTTTCCGTCAAGGTGACGTCATAGTACTCCTCCACGTGTACTCTCCACCACCGCGTAAGAAGAAATCCACGGCGGCGCGTCTCCTCCGTCGTCACGGATACCATCTTGCTCTCTCTTTCCGTGAAATCTGTGACGCTTTCTTCAACGTGAGTGGAAATGAATCTTGATCGGAAACTTTACTCCATTTTATTGATGAATTAGGTTTGTTTCTCCTTTGTGATCGTAATTTTACAGACTAATACTGAGATCATTGTAAGAGAAGGAGATGATGATGGAAGAATGATTGCTCAAGTTGTTAAAGAGATTGGTGCTTCGATGCTTCTCGTTGGTCTCCATCAGAACAGCTTTCTTTACAGGTAGGTACTATTTTGATCGATTCGAAAGTTACGGGGTCATTATTAAAGAATTTGAACCCCACATAGACGAATTTAGTCATTCCCTCTATGTGTAGATGGGCAATGAGTGGGATCGATGTAGCGAGAAATTTCAATTGCAAAGTGATGGCTATAAAGCAGCCTTCACCGGAACTTTCGCATCCGGTGAAGGTTAAAGGACACAAGACCTCTCAGGCAACGGCGACAGCGACTTCAGATAGTTTAACTAATTTTGACTTCTCCCAAATTGAAATTTCTGGATTACAGTAAGATTCCTAACCTCTTTGATTTCAATTAAAATTTTCTTAATGTTAACAAAATAACAAAACTACGTGATTTGGTGAAATAGTTTCAAGATAGAGATCTCTAGTTTTTTTTTTATTTTAAATTTGATATGTTGAATATAAATATTTCATACTGACTCTGATAAAAAAAAGGAACTTTTGATTGAAACAGGGTTCCTGAGATTCCGACACCACCTAAAGTGCCATACAGATTATGTCCCAGTCCTCATGCCATACTCTGGAGAACAAGACCCCGGAGGAGATCCAAAGACCAATACGGTGTCGTTTCCTAGTCTATGATTTTTGTTTTTGAGACAAACCACCAAAACTTGACCCATTCATTTGTGTCAAATAAACAAATTTTACTCGATACAGAAAAAATCATTCCAATCACATTATTCTTTAAACAACGAACAGTTTTTTCAAACCCTCTTCCAAAAGTTTGGTTCGAGTGATAAAAGTAAAAATGGAAAACAAATTTCCCATGATAGCCAAAATGCAAACAATAATTATCCACCATTAGAGATTAAAGAAAGAATGATTATTTATGTTAAATACTTTGCTTTTCTCTCCTCCGTAAACTATATCTGTATTTGTATGCTAATATTCTAAACACATTACCTTTTTATAGCAACAAGTGTTCTCTCCTGTATTCACGTACAATCACTGGTATACTCGTCGGAGGAATCTGTTCACACACATAAGACACTAAATTAACGTTGCTTTGCATACCAAACTTATAACATAACAATGTGTGAGATACGTACCATTCCATAATCCGAAACAATCATAGATATATATTCTGAAGGAGTAGAATCGTACCTGGAACACACAAAAACAAAAAAGAGAATTAAGAGAAATTAAGATAAAGCTTTGGGATGAATTTTCAAAACCATTTATAAAGCGCTTTACATTAAATTCAGAAACTGAAGGTTTTTGTTGTTGTCCATCGTCTTTGAATGCTTTGCATTGGTTCTAAATGATGGTATGTTGGCTATGGCGTCTGGATCACCTGCAAATTTCACACACAGGAAAAACAACTGTTAAGAAAAATCTGATTCGAGCAAAAGAATAATCAACAAGAAGAAGAGCGAGTGAAACATTTACCAAGTTCGTTGGAGCAGATTGAATCAAGTAGGACTCTTTCATGGAACTTGTAAGCTTCACAACACACAATTACAGGAACACTAAATGCGTTTGCAACCATTGCAATGCAGGCTGTGCCAACTCTTGCATAAAGAGTTCCATTCGAGAATATTGATGAAGCCCCAAGAAAAACACGTGTAGCTTCACGCATGATGTAGGAAATGGCGTTTATATGAGTGTAGGTACAGTCGAGGCCACGAGTCACAAGTCTACGAAGTAACTTTTGCCCTTCAAGATTAGGGCGTGAGTCAACAATCACTACGCGGAATTTTTTCCCAATCTCATGGGCATATAAGAGAATCATTTCAACCACACAAGAGAATCCGTATGTGAGAAGAACTTCTCCGTCTCTGATTTTTGTTACAGCGTGTTGCACGATTGCCTTGTCTGCAAGAATTATCTTTTCGTCTATGAACCGACCAATGTCAGAACAGAGGGAACTTTTTGCCTCTGACTCTGACAGGTTTACAGGTAGTTTTCTTATTTGGTTCTTCAGGAACCTGATTGCGTTTCCCATGCTCATGGAGAGCGGACGGCATTCTATTAAGAATGAAACATAACCGTTTATTTTGGTTGTCAAGTCCATGGTCAGGTCTTTCATAGGAGGTGTAATGTAATCTTCTATAGCTTCTTGAAATGCTTGGAGCATGGCAATACATCGTGCATTGTCCCCAGATATATCTCCAGCCAAATGTTGCAAACCCACCTAAGATTAACAAAATACAAGTATATATGTCACTTGAGGATACAGAATGATAAACTACAGGGTTTCAAACTCTTAGGGGTTCCAGTTCAAAAGCGTAACATTCGAACATTTCACAGTCACACATATAAACAAGTAGGTGTACCTTATAGACCGCATGGTGTATGGAATCGAGTGTGAAAAAATTGGAGCTTAAATTGGGAAGCTGATTGCCGCGTTCGTATTGAGGAAGATGGAGAAATAATTCAACTTTGTTCTTGCTCTCGGTCTGTTCAACCACAGCACGCCTCTTAGCTTTATCCACTCGGCTTCTATCATCATACTGCATTAGTGTCTGAGGGACATCCATCCTCTTCTCTTTTTCTACGGCTACAGCAGTTTTTTCAGAAATAGAGGATGTGACGGGAAGTCTTTCTTTCTTTGGTTGGGGCTTTTTGGCAGCCTTGCCAGGATTAGCTCTACCAGACTCATCTGCACGTCTGTTTCCTTCGCCTAAAAATTAGCAAGAGGGAAGCATTTAGATGATTTTACGTTTCACTTTAATGAATATGGAAAACAAAGCAAAAGTATTGAGCAAAAACAAGAACCTTTTGCAGCAGCTTTTGCTGCCCGTTGTGCCTCTTGGATGGCACGCCTTTCTGCTTTAGTGGTTTTATCTTTCGGCGCTTTTGGTTCCTTTTCCTTCTGGGGTTTTGTGGTCACAGATTCACTCTTTCCTGCAGGATATATTCTTTCTGTAAGTAACGAAATGCAAAACTAGAAGGAAACATCTGTGCATGGCAATAATTGAATGACTCAAACCCATAGCAATTCATAAGGTCAAAGTTGATACCAAACAAAAAATAGCTATTTAACTTCAAATTCTAAAGGATAGTCCAGTTTGGAAATGGAGCTTAATAACCCTTCTGTGGCTGGGCGGTATCAACACCTCCAGAGAAGCCCATAGCCTCTGATCAAGGAGGGTACTTCAGGATTCTAACAACCAATCTCCGGCCATACAGTGAAGGCAATTTCGTTGTTGGAGAAGACCAAGGCCCGCAATCCAGTTTAAAAGCAGAGATAGATGACCAACTCCCAGCCTCAACAATGATGGCAGCAACGGTTAAGGAGGATTTTGTAGGCAGTCCAGTACGGAAGCAAAACTTGATGATGCATTTCCGTCAATGTTAAAGACTTGCCTAAAAACTAACTTTGAGAAAAAGGTATCGCTTGTGACTAAGCAAAGAACAGAGTTATGCTTTGAAGATAACGATGTCGCCTCTTGCCAGTCTATCTGCGAAGCGTCATGACGAATACGAAGATTGCTGTATATGAAACTAAGAAACATAATGCTATCAGGAAATTAAGTGTTAAAGATGACACGCTGTTGAGTGGGAAGCTCTAGTCAATTTAATCCTTCACATTTCAACAACTCTGAAACAGCAACTGCTTCTACCCATTATAGAGAGGCAAATTCCCTGACATGCTTGATTTGGGAGTATGTTGAACCACCTCCGCAAACGTATGCATTTCACACAGACCACAGGTCCACCTGCTTTATCTTCAAAACACGCCTCTTTGTTTCAAAGTCAGAGTCGATCTATCAACATTGGCAGAAATTGCTCACCAAACTTTGCTTCTAAACCAGACTCAAATTTAAACATTCTCCAAATATCATTATCATCAGAGCCAGAAAATGATTATCTCAGGCTTCTCAAGACAAAGCCTCAGCTATCAACCAGGCCGGAGTATGATCATTGAACAACCTCCTGAACCAGACTCGCACCGCCCATGCCAAAAAGAAGGGAAATCAAGCTCCATTTCCAAACCGGACTCCTTAAATATCTCCATGAGATCAAGTTACAGAGTTTTCCAAACAAGATATCAATCTCCGGGCCTACTCCGTCCCTACGGCACTACAGGCCGATGTTACTTGGGGGATCACAAATCCTCACCACAAAGGTCTCATTTTGATAACACCAAACTCAATATATAACTATACAAAGAGCTATGCATATATATATATATATATTCAATAGACACTTAAATTGATTGATGAATACGTATACATACCAGAAACTTCGGCGATCTTCTTTTGACCTTCGGAAGCCGACGCCGTCGCAATTTTGGCTTCCGATTCCTGAGGAGCTCTAACTGCTAAAGTCAAATCAAAGCCTCCATTAGGAAAACTTGCTGATAATTTCGTAGAATCACTCCGTTGGAACCCAAACAGAGAAGCCGAATCCTCAGAAAACTCTCCATTACTCGACGGTGTTGATGTCCCGAGAAGTGAATCCGGAGGATTGTAACTACCAACGTGAAGAAGACTCCGGTCATGAGTTAAGTATCGGCGAAAACCTGCAGGTCCAGGGACAGGTACAGGAGCAGCAGCAGCAGCAACGCGAGAGGCTAAATTGTCAGAGTGATGACGCGACGGTGGAATTAAGACCGGAGAAATTAAATTGCCGGAGGGTGAATTGGAGAGAGGAGAGGAAGACGTTGTTGCCTCTACGGGACCGGATTGGCTTCGATTTGGTCGTTGTGAGGATTCTGGAGGCGGCTCGATTGGTGTGAAGAAACCTACTCGACGGACTTTAGGAACCGCAAGAGCTCCACGACGAGTATCCATGGAGAGACGTTACTCAAGTTTCGATTGGAATATGTAAGGATCGTTGGAAGAAGAAGACGACGATGATGATTATTTAGGGTTTTGAATTAGGACTTTGGAGATACAAAGGATTTGACCAAAACGGTGGGACGATTGCTAAATGGCTAAAATCCTTATTTGCAAGTATGAGATAAATAAGATTTTTATAACGTGCCAAAATGTAATTAACCCAAAAGAAAGAGAAAATTAGATCTGGTTCAAAAACTTACCCAATATGCCACAATGCGTAATTCCTTTTAAGATGTGCCATAACTTCAACTTAAAATGACTGATTTGCCCTCCATTTTTACAAACCGAAACAAACCTTCATCTTCTTCCCTTTTGCTTCGAAACCCTCTCTTTCTTCTTGTTAGGGTTTTTTTCGGCGATTGCTAAAGATTTTTCGCAATACCCATCATATATCCTTTCAAGCATTCATAGTTTTTAACTCATTCCACTTCCCGAAGGTTCCCTCAGCAAATGAAGCGTCCCTCGTACTTGGAGTTGCAGATCTGAATCCAGTTACTGTTCATTATCCGTCAACGGCATCTGGGTTGATGGCATGTCCATCTGATTCCGGTACTGACGAAGGGAAGCAAGCCAGTGGCCAACCCAGCTTGTAAGTTCTTGTTTTCGTATCCCTCAGTGGACATAATTTCAATAATTTCTGTGTAAAAGAAATGAAATTGAAATTCCGAATGTCTATCAATTTGTCTGATTCCAATTTCTTGTCCACATGAAGAAACACACCAAGCCGAGTTCCGGCATTCTTCACCGTCTCCCCTCGGATCCGTTGACATCAGATCCACATTCATATTGTTGTCAATGTTGTCCTTCGCTACAATGGACAAGATAATACATAAAAACTTGTTTACTACTTATTGTCTACTAATAACTTATACCATACAATGGACAAGATGATTCATAATAACTTGTCTACGTATACTTGTCTATGTAGAACTTGTCCCCTATTATATTCAACTCGCTGTTGCCCGTCATTGTATAATGGACAATATCAGAGAGATACCAAATAGCTTGTCTACGCATTATACCAAATATCTTGTCTACTCATTTGTCATTAGTATCATGGTTCAGATTCAGACATAAGACCTTACTCAATACATTAACATTGCTTAATGGACAACATAATAGCCAATACATAGTAAAATGCTCAAGTACAGAGGATGGTTAGTGAAGAACACAACAATTATAATAACATGATTTTCGGTTTTTTGCTCAAAACATATCATTATCTTTGAAGATAAACTTTTTTTATAAAAAATGTTTTACCTACAACCTAATTAAAATTTACGTTTACGGGTTGAGAACTAATCCGTCATGTAAAGGAAAATTCATGGCGATTAAAACGGATATGAGTAAGGCTTACGATAGGGTGGAGTGGAAGTTTATTGAGAAGGTTTTAAGAAAATTGGGTTTTTGTGAAAAATGGGTTAATTGGATAATGTGGTGTATTACAACAGTCCAATATAGAGTCCTCCTTAATGGACAACCTCGAGGACTAATAGTACCAGAGAGGGGGTTACGACAAGGAGACCCGCTCTCGCCCTATTTATTCATCCTCTGCACTGAAGTGCTAATTGCGAATATTCGGAAAGCAGAACGGGAAAAATTAATTACGGGTATTAAAGTTGCAAATGCAAGCCCTTCGGTTTCACATTTGTTATTTGCGGATGATAGCTTATTTTTTTGCAAAGCTAATAAGGATCAGTGCGGGATTATTTTGGGGATTTTAAAAAAGTACGAAGCGGTTTCGGGACAGCAGATTAATTTTCAAAAATCCTCGATTCAATTTGGACATAAGGTAGATGATGAAATCAAGGAAGATATCAAAGCTACCTTGGGTATCACTAATATCGGTGGTATGGGTTCTTATCTCGGATTGCCGGAGAGCTTGGGTGGCTCGAAGACAAAGATTTTCTCTTTTGTTAGAGATAGGTTACAAACCAGAATTAATGGCTGGTCGGCAAAATTTTTATCGAAAGGTGGGAAAGAAGTGATGATTAAATCGGTAGCTGCAGCATTACCAACTTATGTTATGTCGTGCTTCAGACTACCGAAAACAATTACTTCTAAACTTACTAGTGCGGTTGCTAATTTCTGGTGGAGTTCGAATGGTGATTCTAGAGGTATGCATTGGATGGCCTGGAATAAATTATGCAATAGCAAATCGGAAGGGGGTTTGGGTTTCCGGAATGTAGACGACTTTAACTCAGCATTATTAGCTAAACAGTTATGGCGGTTGATCACGGTCCCAGATTCTCTTTTTGCGAAGGTTTTTAAAGGACGGTATTTTCGGAAATCCAATCCTTTGGAAAATATAAAATCATACTCCCCATCATATGGATGGCGGAGTATATGCTCAGCTAGATCTCTGGTTAATAAAGGACTTATTAAAAGAGTCGGATCTGGGGCATCCATCTCAGTTTGGGAGGATCCCTGGATTCCAGCTCAATTCCCGAGACCAGCAAAAAGTAATTGGTTCAATTGCTGACCCATTATTAAAAGTTCAAAACCTTATCGATAGTCGGTCTAACTTTTGGAATATTGATCTCTTAAAGGAGATCTTTGATCCTGAAGATGTCGCGCTAATAAGCGCCCTTCCAGTGGGTGCGCCAACGAAGGACGATACTCTGGGTTGGCACTTTACAAAATCTGGAAAATATACAGTTAAGTCGGGTTATCATACCACACGGATAGAAAAGTCGGAGACCAATTTTTTGTTTATTGGTCCAGATATCAAACCGCTAAAAGCACACTCTTGGCAAGTGCAGTGCCCACCGAAGATACGACATTTCTTATGGCAAATTTTAAACGGTTGTGTACCGGTTACGGAAAATCTACGGAAAAGAGGAATGGATTGTGACACAGGATGTGCCAGATGTGGTGCATCAGAGGAAACAATCAATCATACACTATTTCAGTGCCACCCGGCACGGCAGATTTGGGCACTTTCACAGATTCCAACGGCGATCGGGATTTTTCCCACGGAATCCATTTTTGCGAATTTGGATCACTTATTTTGGAGAATACCTTCAGACTTTGATTTTTCAGCTTTTCCATGGATTATATGGTATATTTGGAAAGCAAGGAATGAAAAAATCTTTGAAAATATAGATAAAGACCCGTTAGAGGTATTACGGTTAGCAGAAAAAGAGGCCCAATTATGGCAAGCAGCTCAATTAGAGCTCCAAGAAGAAAATCATGGTGTTGTGAGTTCGGCAATTCTGTCCCGAGTGAGGGAGGTTTCTTTTGATTCGAACTATTCAGGATATCGTTGTTTCGTGGATGGATCGTGGAAAGAAAGTGATAAGTTTTCCGGTACAGGGTGGTTCTGTACATCGTCAAATGGAGAGCCGCCAGCCATGGGAGCTGCGAACCTCCGTAGAAGTCTATCTCCACTACATACCGAAGTCGAGGCCCTTCTCTGGGCGATGAAGTGTATGATTGGTGCAGATCATCAAGATGTAGCGTTCTTTACAGACTGTTCAGACCTGGTGAAGATGGTGTCTTCTCCAACCGAATGGCCGGCGTTTTCAGTGTATTTGGAGGAATTTCAGAGCGACAAAGAGGAGTTTTCATCTTTTTCTTTATCTTTAATTTCTCGTAGAGCTAATGTCAAAGCGGATAATCTGGCACGAAAAATTCGTACAGAACCGCTTCATATCACATATGTAAACAACATTCCTCAGGAATGGTTCTTTTGAATTTTAATTAATTTCGGATGACAAAAAAAAAAAAAAGACCAGTTGTCCTCTGCGTGACATGGCAGTATTAAATGCCACTCCAAACAAAAAAAACTCTCACACGTCAAATCCCCAACCTGCCAATTTCAAACTCCCGCTGAAACATCATGAGGGGCAGTTTTGTCTTTCAACCCATGCCAGAAAGATGAAATGTGGCACATTTTGAAAGGAATAAACGAATGTGGCATAAATCAAAAAATTTCTACAGAACATGGCACATTCAACAAAATTCCCCAAAAGAAATGCAAATCGATCATCATTTTTTTTTTTTTTTCATCAATCGATCATCATTTAAGTTTTATAATAATGTTTTTTTTTTAATAAAATAGTATGTTTGAACAAAAAAAATTAGTAGTATTTTTTGGAAAATGGTACTATAAAAACGTTTTTTGAACCCAAAAAAATAGGTGCCATAAAAAGCGTTATTTGATATTTCTCAAAATTTCTTGATTTTTATGGAGTAATGGACACTAAATGCCACATTTTTTTGTATTTTTTGAAATTTTTGTGCTTGTATCTAAATTTGATTTATATTGATCTATATCGTTTTAACAATAAATTTATGTTTGGAATATGTATATGTGTTATTGAAGACCACTATTCTAAAAAGTGGTATAAACGGGTAATAAAACCGTAATGATTATTTTTTAATTCTTAGATGTTAGGACTGTGTTTTGTTATAAAATAGAGTTAGACGACTTAGCCAAATCTATGTAGCTATATAGAAGCAATAATCAATTTCATATAATTGTTAATATATTTAAATTTTCATTTCATTTTAGTTACTATTGTTTATTTTGGTGTAATTATTCAATTTCTATTTACATAGATAAAATCTATACGTTTTGAAAACATAAATCCATGGTTATCAAATTTAACATTGTTATTTGAAATAAATTATATTGATTTGATGGTTACATGTACATGAAGTTCTAACTCGGTAAATAATCAGACAAATTCAAAGAATTTGTGTTTAGATATTTTTTCTTGTTTTTTTTTTGCTCAAGAAACTTAACATTCTTGATTTTTCAAATGAAAATACTTTTGAAATATTAATACAATTACTTAATTAGATAATAATATCCACATTCTACTTAAATAACCAAATAAACTATATGATTTAATCTGTTTATTTATTAATTAATTAGATAAAATGTTGATTATTATTGATAATTTGGGGATTGCTATTTGGTGTAGGTCAATTTTTTTTAGTGGCACCTCCCTCTCCATCTACTTAGTTTTCGTTGACATTTGACAATTTATTTGACAGAAACAAAAGCATGCATGTTCCTAGCTTTTATAAGTCAATCTCTTCTTCAAATCTCTCTCGTCTTGACTATGCACCAGGAGGCTTAAACCCTCCTCACACTCACCCACGTGCTACCAAAATCGTCTTTGTTCTTGAAGGAACCCTTGACGTTGGGTTTCTCACAACGGCTAATAAGCTCATCTCTCAATCTCTTAAGAAAGGAGATGTCTTTGCTTTCCTTAAAGGGCTTGTCCATTTCCAGAAGAACAATGGTCATGTTCATGCTTCTGTTGTCGCAGCTTTTAATAGTCAGCTTCTTGGAACTCAGTCTCTTGGTGCTACTTTGTTCGGCTCTACTCCTCATGTTCCTAACAATATCTTGTCTCAAGCCTTTCAGACATCTCCAGGAACTGTCAAACATATCAAATCCATGTTCCAACCCAAGAAATGATCTTAAAATTCATTACTCATACAAATTTCCAGTTTCTTCCTTTATTTACTTGTCTTGTGTGTAATAAACTATGAGTGCGAGTGTGCAACCGACGTGGCTCCATAATTTGAAGCTCGTGTTTGAGACACTTAGCCGTTGTTTTCTCATATCTCTATGTCCCTTTGGTTTTTGGTTTGTCTCAGAGTTTTGCTCATTTGGACTCTGTTTTATTTGGCAGCATGCTCCGTTTCTTAGTTTATAGAAGTTAGAAAAAAACAAAAACAAAAAAAGACTATGAGTGTGCAAAGTACAACAGTCCACTAAATTAGAAAAAAATTGAGATTAGAAAAAAAAAAAAAAGACTATATAAGTTATCTAGTTTTAGTAATGTTATACAAGATATTTAATATTTTTTAAAAGGATTTTTGAGAATACTAATAAAATTATAAAAGATCAAAACAACATATTTTGTTTCTCATTCTCAATTAAAATATAAAAGGATTTTCTAAGATTACAAGACAAACCGGATTGACAAATCGTTAATGACTTAAACCGTGAGAGCGTTTGTTTGCTTATATGTCAATTTGAATTCGTAAACTATAACGGTTAGAAGTAAACTAAACAAGGGTATTTTAGGCATTCTAGTCTAAACCTTAATGCTCTATAAGATTAAACAGGGTATTTTCGTATTTACAAATCCAATCGTTAAACAACAATATAAAAGAAGATCTTCTTTCTCTTAACCCTCGTTTGCAAATTGAATCGTTCTTCGAACGCTCTTCTCTTTTGAATTCTCTGATTTTTAACGTTCTGATTTTCTTAAACGAAATTCGAAATTCTCTCGACATCTCCTCTTTCTCCGGCGGCGAAAATCGATCATGGCGATGGATCTAACGGATGAGATCGCAATTGGGGAATTTGTTTGTCACCGAAACAAAAGGTTTATGATTGAATCCGAGATCGTTTCTTCAAACGTATCACTGAGAATCTTCCGATTACGCAAACAATCCGGTATAAACTCTTTTCTCAAATTTTAGGTTTCTTTACTTTAAAACAAACAGTAGCGAATTAGGGAAATTAGCGATGTGGAACTGGTTTGATTATGTATCTTGATGTTGTTTATGTTGAGAATATCATTCGATTCAGGAAATTTCTAATGATTTTGCGTTTCCTTTTCTACTCAATCATCATGAGACGAAACTGATATAATTTTTTTGATGGTTCATGTTGTTAATTTTGTTCATCGTTAAATTACAAGATCAAGATTACCTATAATGATTATTCAGATCTATTGTGTGTTCTCTTTTCTATAATTGTCTCGTGACATCTATATTTTTCTATTTGGATCAGTATTTCACCACTGGAGTTGCATCTCAAAATCTATTGAAGTGTTGTCGTCTGATTCTGCAAGAAATCAAGTTCGGTACCATTTTATAATGTGAGTTTTATATTAAGTTTGTGTGTTTCCTTAACAAATTTCAGCCTTAAACTTATTTTTCAGTGTATAAGTTTTCGTTTTCTCATGTTATATATGTTGAGTGGTCTTTTGAGTCTGAATATGTTTTTTTGGCTTTGATTCAGTTCTTTGGCTCAGTTTTTGTATTTCACAACTTGCATTCACTGACATTACTTCCGGTATTTCACAACTTTCCAAGCTTTTTTGCTCATGAATAAGTATTCAATTTATATGTTTCAATAAGCTTCTGTATAATAAATATTCAATTTATATGTAAATTGCAGGAGGCTATAAACATTGTAGAGAAACTAAAAAGAGTTGTTAAATCTTTTTGAAAGGTACGCTCTCTAGTAGCTCATATTTGTGTACAACATATAAAATTCTAGAAATAACTATATTTGCTTGCTGATTGATATTATTTTTTAGAGAACAACATGTATATACACTGGGGTCAGTAGTTGGTCAAATGATCCATTTTATAACTTTATTCTTGGATAATATGTAAGGAACCATACACTTGGTTTAGTTTTAAGTAAATTTTTTGTTGGTTTAGTGTACTTTTTGTTTATTAACAACATGTCAAACTCTCTCCTTGTTACTGATAAACCTTTTTTCTGCTTTCAAGAGAAGGAATGGATCCTTAAGCTTTAAAGAACAAAAGGTCTGGAGAACAATAAGGTGTGCTTTTCTTGTTCTCTCTCTCTCTTTTTTCCAAAAATGAGACAGACCAGTCCTCTGGCCTGGCTTGTTTAGCATATATTTTACATGCTTAGCGGGTTGAGCTCATCAACTCTTATTAGATATGGTAGTAAAAGCTCAAAACACAAAACACAAAACAAAACACGCTCAAACGTAATTCAAACACACATCTAAACGCAAATTTTAACACACAAAACACAAGATAAACCACGCTCAAACGTAATTCAAACACACAAACACACATCTAAACGCAAATACAAACACACAGCTAAACGAAAAATTCAAACACACAACACAAGACAAACAATACACGCTCAAACGTAATTCCAACACACGTTCTAAACGCAAATTCAAACACACAAAAACACATTCCATCACAACAACATTCTCGCAAAAAGGGTCACTGTACCATCATTTACATATTCAATGCCAAAGAATTTGCTTTGAGCTCGTTGTTTTCTCTTAATTTTGAAGCATCTATGTTTTAACTGATTGTTTCTCAATAATCAGCAATTTTATTTACTCTTGAATTTGAATTCAGTATGTAACAATGACTGTTTCAACCTTTTTTTGTTCATCATGCGCAACTGCCGGCAAAGCAAAATTCTAGCAGACTACAGATTCTACAAGGTATGTGGTTTATGTATTAGTTTCTCTGGATTAAAGGTTATTGATCTCTAGAAAAATTGTTATCTCGTTTCTCATTTATACAAATTGCTAGTTGTCTGTCTGTTTTCTCTAGTGCATGTGTTTGGATTTTGGCCTTGATTCAGGTAATTGGCTCTGGTTTGTTTTCAGTGTCACCCTGAGCTTTATTATTACTATATCATTGCATAGTATGTTTTTTTTTTCTTTCTGATTCGCATCTACAGAGTCTTGATCGTAAGTACTGAAGCTGGAGGGCATGCGTTAACACCTCATCAAAATTACAAATACGAGTAAGAAACCAATTTTGCTAGCAACCATACTTATGATGCTTCTGGATTAGTTTTTGTTTTTTCACCCTTTTCTTTTAATGGTATTTTGAGTTTTCTTTGGTTTCAGAGTAAAAGATAAGTTGCAAAGAACAAAAAGCTGTGGAGACCATCCAGTCATTAGCTATGAAGAAGGTTAAGGTAAAGTATTTTCATGATTCATATAGTTTATAATTATTGTCCATAAGACATACTTATTCTCTGTTTTTTTGGTTTGAATCTCTGTTTTGGGCTAACAACTTAAAGATGCAAATGACAGGAACATTTTGCTTTATAAACGTCTTCAGAAAATGAGACAGCAAACATTTTCTCAGTAATTCACATTAAGGTAATTTTATTCCTTTGTGGTACATTTAATTAGTGTTTTTGGTTCCTACATTACTCATTATAGTTTGCATGACTTTTCGATTAACAGGTGGAGACTTTACATTACCGAGAGAGTCCAAGTTAAAAGTATGGGCTAACAACCCAATTATGCGTAGGAAGACATTCTTCATACCAGTAAGTTTTCTTTATAGGCTGTAGTGATTTTGTATTTAATTTATGGTCTTGTCTAGTATCATCTATTTGTGATATGTTTTACTCTGCTCAAGTTTTCTACCTAACAAGATGTTTTGGTTTTTAGGAAGGTATCCATTTTTAAACCGCAAAGAATCTGAAGATTCTCAAGAGCAAGCTGTGACGAGTAAGGTTAAGTTATTCTCTCTTTTTCTTTTCACAAAACAAATACATTAAAATACAACAAAAACACTAAACACTCAACACCCAAAAACAAAACAAAAACAAGAACTTCACGAAAACATACACGATCACCAAAACAAAACAAATAAAAACAAAAACTTCACAAAAGCATACACGAGATCACCAAAACAAAAAAAAAACTTCACGAAAACATACACGATCACGAAAACATAAGCTTTGTGACAAAAAAAAAACTTACGAAAACATACACGATTACCAAAAATAAAAAAAAAATCGACACTCAGAAAACTGTGACTAAGAAATTCACGTACACGCAAACACAGTGCGAAAAGAAAACTCACAATAACATCCATGATAAGCTTATTATATGTAGTATGGTTGTTTGCTATAAATTAAGTCTGATCATCTCATTCTTCTCACAATTTCCCTTCTTCCTTTTCGAGACTTGTTGCTGATTGCTGTTGTTTTTAATATGTATATTATTTTTACTTTTGTTGTTTTCTTGTTTGAAACTTTTGTAAATGTTGTAATACAGATATTTATTTCATTAATAAAGAGACATTTATTTTATTTCATGAATTATGGTATTTACGAAATTGCCCCATAACTATCGGTATTTATGAAATTGCCCCAGAACTGTTGGTATTTCGAAATTGCCCCACGACTTATGATATTTACGGAATTGCCCCACGACTTATGATATTTATGAATTTGCCCCAGAACTATCGTTATTTACGAATTTTCCCCACAACTTTATGGTATTTACAAAATTGCCCCATGAATTATGATATTTACGAAATTAACCCATAAGTATCGGTATTTACGAAATTGCCCCAGAACTGTTGGTATTTCGAAATTGCCCCACGACTTATGATATTTACGAAATTGCCCCATAACTATCGTTATTTATGAAATTGCCCCTTAACTTTTTGGTATTTACGAAATTGCTCCAAAACTATTGGTAATTACGAATTTGCCCCGAGACTTATGATATTTAAGATTTGCCCCAGGACTATCGTTATTTTCGAAATTGCCCCATAACTTTATGGTAATTACGAATTTGCCCCATAACTATCGTTATTTACGAATTTGCCCCACAACTATCAGTATTTACGAAATTGCCCCACAACTTTATGGTATTTACAAAACTGGCCCATGTTTTATGATATTTACGAAATTGCCCCATAACTATCGTTATTTACGAATTTGCCCCACAACTTTATGGTATTTAGAAAATTGCCCCACGACTTATGATATTTACGAAATTGACCCATAACTATCGGTATTCACGAAATTGCCTCAGAACTTTATGGTATTTACAAAATTTCCCCATGGCTTATGATATTTACGAAATTGCCCCATATCTATCGGTATTTAAGAAATTATATGATCGTAAACCTTTTCTTTTCTTGATTTTAATTTGAAATATCAAACCGTTTCTCATAATTTTTATTTGGATTATAAAGTTATTCTAGTCTGAAACGTGGATGTTGTTAACTTTACAACAAAAAAAGTCAAAGGGCAAATAATTAAGTTAAAAATGTGTGCAGGGTTATTGGTCTCAAATGAATCACTTGGTCAAATGATATTCGTTAGATTATTCGCATAAAACTATATATCTATAGAAGAAAACTTCAATGTTCTTGTAAGACAAGAAAGATGATTCTGACTTCAACAACCTAACATCAAGACTCCAATTCTTTAGCATAAGCGTCAAAACAAACTTTAGAAGTCAGATTAATATTACATGAAATTTTATTCTAATCGAGCGGATTCAATGGACAACGATTCTTTTATCAGGAAGTCGGAACTCGAGATCGGTTCAGAAGTCTACCTTCTCTCCAAACGAATCCCCTCTCAAGAACAAGGTAAAATTTAACTTGGAATAAAGGATTAAGTTGATTGATATTTGATAGAGTTGTGGTCTAGCAAGGTCCATGAGCCCTTGTGTCTCCCCAAAACCTAGGTTATGAACACTTGTATACCAACACTCTCTCCTCTATCTTACCGATGTGAGGTCTTATCAATATTTGATTCCTATTCAATGGTGATATAGACTCAAAATAAACCAGTATGTGATGGTCATTCGGTAAGTAATTCGAAAAGGGCTGATATTATATTTCGATCCTTAATTAACAGAAGTTACAATAGATGTTTCTCATATGACATTGGAGGATGAGCTCAGCGAGGAAGAGGATCAGAAAGATTCAAGTAGAGAGGATTTTGATGCGAGTCTTGAGAATCATAAACTGTCTAGGGAGCAAAGAGAGCATATTCGAGCGATAAATGTGAAGAGAAAGAGAGACTTTGTTTGCTTGGAGAAAGTTAATGGGGAGATTGTTAACATACTAGAGGGACTCGAATTGCATACCGAAGTTTTTAACGCAGCGGAACAGAAAAGGATAGTTGATAAAGTGTGTGAATTGCAAGAGAAGGGACAAAAAGGAGAACTAAGTAAGTAGCTAAGATTCCTTCTTCTGTCTACATAGTTTTGATCTGAATCCTAATTTGTATATCTCTCTTTGTAGAGCGTGCTTTTACTGCTCAAGGCAAAGGACGTTCAACTATTCAATTCGGCTGTTGTTTCAACTACCGTAAAGTAAGTAAAACTCGTTCTTGATCGTTCTTTCTCAATTTATGAGTTCTAGTGAGTGCCACAATGAGTGAAAGAATAAATATGCAGAGCAAAGTTGGAAACCCGGCGGGGATTCTTAAACATGAAACAGTTGATCCATTGCCTCATCTTTTCAAGGTGATCATTAGAAGGTTGGTTAAATGGCATGTTCTGCCTCCAACTTGTGTTCCTGATTGTTGTGTAGTCAACATTTATGATGAAGGTGATTGCATACCTCCTCATTTTGACAATCACGACTTCCTCCGCCCGTTCTGTACCGTTTCTTTCCTTAGTGAATGCAATATTCGCTTCGGATCAAACCTTAAAGTTGAGGAAACCGGTGAATATTCGGGTGGTTCATACTCGCTACCGCTTCCTGTTGGGTAAGTTCTTTCTTATATGTGCTTGTAAATTTTTATGTCACATGTAACTTGGAAACAGTATATGTATATGACAAAAAAAAAACTTAACTTCTTTTTCAGATCAGTGCTTGTGTTAAACGGGAATGGAGCTGATGTAGCTAAGCATTGTATACCTGAAGTTCCCAGGAAAAGGTAACTTTGATTCGTTTCTTTTACATATAATAAACATTGTTTTCTTATTTATGTTTTTTGTTTCTGGTTTCTTAACAGAATGTCAATCACATTTAGAAAAATGGATGAGTCAAAATGGCCAGTCTGGTACACACCAGAACCTTATTTGCAAGGGATTCAGCCATTGCCCTACAAGCTGAAATCTTCTGGTTCCTCTAAATCTAATCATCAAGTGTGATCTCATACTAAACCGGAGTGAAAGTTGAAATTTAACCAAAACATTAATTTAAAAACCCAAAAATCCAGTTGGGACACAAATTGTTTCGAAACCTTGTCAGTTCCTGAAAATATGTAACTTGAATTTATGTATATTACAGTCTTATTTGTTTTTATAGATAGTGTGAATAATTTTTCATTATGGATTTACTAGTGGGAAACTTCATTTCTGTGTTTTGTAAGTAACGTTTTTCTTTCCTGTAGACATGAGTTTTGTTTTGAATATGGTTTGATAGCTGTAGATTTGTTCTTGCGTCACACGTTAACTAAATATAACCAGTAAATATTTTTAAAGAACAATTTAGTAAAAAAAAAGTTCTCCAAAAACCAAAATCCAATTTGGAAAAGAAAAAGAAAAGCAGGAAATATATTAAATATAACCAGTAAAAATATTTTAAAGAACAATTTAGTAAAAAAACAAGACTGAAACTCCACGTGTTTGTATGCATGCGCCTTCACTTCCCGAACCTGTCTCCATTTGTTTCACTCTTTCTCCTCTCACACCTCACACATCTATCTCACTCTCTCCTCGCCGAAAATGGCTGATCGAACCAACCCTAGCAGCCACACCCAACAGAGACCCATTTACAACTCAACCACCGTCCCACGCAGCAACAACACCACCACCAACCACCCCCTCTCATCTCTTCTCCGTCAGCTACTACAATCGCAGTCTCCTAATCACTCCGGTCAGCTCTTCGGCTTCCTCGCATTCTTCATCTCTGGTGGAGTCCTCCTTTTACTCACCGGAATCACCGTCACCGCTTTCGTCCTTGGATTCATTGCTTTTCTCCCACTCATCATCATCACAAGCCCTATTTGGATCCCTTTGTTCCTTATCGTTACCGGATTCTTGTCCCTCGCCGGATCCATCTTCGCTACGGGGGCTGTTGTATCGTGGTTGTATCGATATTTTAAAGGCATGCATCCACTCGGGTCGGATCAGGTGGATTATGCTCGGAGTCGAATCCATGACACTGCGGCTCATGTCAAAGATTATGCTGGTGGGTACTTTCATAGTACGCTGAAAGATGCAGCACCTGGTGCATGAAGGTTTAACCGATATGGTTTGGTCTCATGTAGAAATTACACGTTTTTTGTTTTGTTTTTCCCCTTAATTAGTGTTGTGTTTTTTCCTCTCTCTCTTGGTATATATGATCAATAACAATAATATATGAAATGTGGTCTGTGTTTGTATGAATGTCACTTTAACAAAACGAAAAAAAAAGTAGAGGTTTGTGTTTATTCTCTAGTAGATACCGAGATACATAAAATGAATCCCCAATATTTCTTTTGTACTAGTTTCCTCTTTCATAACTTTCGTTCAAAACTTCAAATGAGTAAATGTGATTTTGTGAGTTATAGACGCCAGATAATATCAAGCACCTTAGTTTAACGAACGGAAATGGAAAATTAGGACCATCGCTCTTGGGCCTAGGCCCATCAAAAGTTACTAATATATCACCTTTAGAAGGTTACTAAACTGTAATTTGTTTTTTCGTTATTAAGAAAACACGGTTTGCTGTTAGATTTTTTTTCAATAACTAACCGTACCGAATCAAACTAAACTAAGTCAAATGAATTTAATAAATTTGATCGAGTCAAAAGTAATAATCCTATGAAACTCAAAGTTGAATCGAGACTATTAATATAGCCCTACTCTCATTTGAAAATAAATAAACAAACAAACAAAAGAAGAAGAAGAAGCCGTTAATGGCTCTACGTTATCCTTGAGAGTTGGCTCACACATTCTAGTCTACGGACACGAATAATTTTGAAATCATTTTTAGCATGTATTGAGTATTATTATTCTAGTCTTAATCCACGTGTATCAAGACCTTTTTTTAGAGCATTAACTCGTTTGAAAACATTCAGTAGTATGTGTCATCGATTTCCTTTGAAATAATAGTATTAGATTAATGTACCTAAAGGAAATTAGATTACAATAACTATATGGCATGATGGTTTGAAACTTTAGACCCTGAAATTTAAATAGCCTATCCAAATTATAACAAGACAACTTAGGATAAAAATGGATCGTACATTACACAATAGCATTCTTATATACATAATATTTTTGTTTTGCTGCCTAATCAACGTTTCAATCATCTAATGAAGTTGCTTAATATTCATTCGTTCCATTAGGTTTAACTGCGATCCGACTTAAGAACGGGTCGGGTAACTGGGTAACGGAGTGCCACGTGGCGATCTTGGTGGCACCTCATTTAACAGCCGTCCGTTGCAGTCGTAATAAATCACACCCGAGAAATCCAACGGCTCACATTTGCCTCCCATCAATATCTCTCTCTGCCAAAGGCCGTGCTCCTCCTCCACCGCCACCGCTTTTTTCTCGGCCGTGTTTTCCCGGCGGACCATCGTCATCGCTTTGTTGCTTAAAGCCGTGAACAACTCTTTCGGCCTAGGAGAACTCATAGAAGAGCTTATCATATTCCATCGGAATCTTTCTCCTCCACCCTCTCCGCCGCTGTGAGTTCGCTTCTTAGACTTTAGCATTAGTTTCTTCGAGAGCCGATTCGCATGTCTAGCGCAGAGAACCATCATAGAGACGAGAAAGCTCACGCTTAGACGTTTGTGGGAGGAGGATGAATTATGTTCCGGCGTTGAACGGTCCATATCTTCGCCGGAAACGAAGAATGAGAAGTAAACAATGTAGTTACTTTTTATAGGGGTTTAACAAGTCAAAGTCAAGAACTAGATTTAGGACCGATTTATTCTTTAGTGTCTGAAATGTGTGTGTTAATGTTATATAGATATGTATAGACATGTTGATGAGATTTAAGAAAAGGGTGTTAGGTTACCGGTGGAATCGGTCGTCTTTGCGTTGATGTTATTTATTGATTTATCATATCGTCATATGTGGACAATGAGTTTTGAATATATTAATAAATTTGAAACTTTCGTTTTCATTAGATTTATGTTGAATATTTGAAACTTCAAAGAGCATGCGTGGGATATGCTTAAACGATCTTGGCATAAATATTAAAATAGCAATTATAAATTCTTTTAAATTTCATTACAGAAAAAGGGAGTGGGTCTTGATCCTAAGAATTGACAATTGATTGGATAAAGCTAAGTTAATTTTTCTTTAGACTAATAGCATTTTATATTTGTAAACTAGATCATGACCCGTGCTATACAGCACGGATTCTAATATTTTGTACGGTTCAACGGTTTAAAAAATATTAACCCGCAGTACACCGCAGACTTATATTTTTATTAAATATAAAATTAATTTTTTAAGGCCTTTCTTTTACATATATGCTATGATTTTGTTTGTTTTAAACGTATATATATTATACATTGTAGGATTAATATGTTTTAGGTTTCATTTTTGAAAATATAGAGATATAGAAAATTATATAGTTCATTACGTACTAATGTATAGGGTATTTAAATATGAATTTATTTTCTTGTTTACATTATATATATATGTGAAGAAAATATGAGATTAGAATGAGTTTATAAATTTTTATTGAGCAAATACATATTTAAAATTGCAGTGTATATATATATATGTTGTGCAAATAAAATTAAAGTACACTATGTGTATAATTGTTTATCCATTATAAGTAAAATCGATATTGTATATGCGTGTTGTTATATATAAGGAAAAAATGTGTATTTCGAATTAACATATGAAAATTTTAAATTATATATGTCTTGTGAATTTTTTTTTTTGTTTAGTGTTTAAGATTGTATGATTGTATTTTAATTGTTAATTCTAGGATTTTTCACCCGTGGTATACCTTCCCGTTTTAATGTCGACTCAAATCCGTCCCACCATATAACCTCGTCCCGTAAAATTAAACACCATTTTGTAATTTTATTAATAATAATTTATTTAAAATATATAATTCGAATAAATTTAAAAGTTTGCTTTAAATAGTTCTCATAATATATAGATTTTTAATTTGTATAGAGTTAAAATATCATTAATAATATAAAAAAAGTTAGTTTGAAAAATGAAAGACAATCAATAAGAAGACACATTACATAACTATATTTGTATATAGTATAAAAAAGGGTATAGATAATGTTTTTTGCTTTCTTTATTTTTTGGTAAAATGTCAATCTTTTTTTTCACTTGAGAGTCGATCCAATTGTTCATACAAAAAATCTTTATCCCCTCTGATTATTTTACTGATTCAGCACAGATCTTTTTTCGATTACAACTATGAATTAAAGATTTGAAAAAAACATGTTCAATAACACCCTGATTCAACCCATGATTTCGATTCAGTAACCTATCCCACAATTAATTAGGATTAAATATTTAGAGACTAAACCAAACCCATTTAATAAAAAACAACTTTACAACCACGTGACCTTAACCCAAGGTCCACAATTCCGGTTTAATAATCAAATATTTAGAGACTAAACCAAACCCATTTAATAAAAAACAACTTTACAACCACGTGACCTTAACCCAAGGTCCACAATTCCGGTTTAATAATCAAATTCCAAAACCCAAACAAACAATCGCACAAACCACCACCACTACACGTGACCATCATCACAAGTCATCTCACGATTCCAAGTTTTGATTCTGGATTTCAATTACACAAGCCATCTCTTGGTTTAGCTTGGTTTAGTTTCACGGTTTAATAATCGCAACAACACCAAGCAACACATACACTAAGACATGGATTTGTAGAATATCTTCTTCGGCAAGTTTTCTCGATGGTTTGATCTGACTGTTTGAACGGCAAAGTGGATCTGCGATGGTCCAGATCCAAACCTAATTTCAAAGAGATCCGAGTTCTACACCACCAAGCTAAAGCTCTATTACCCACCGTTGAACCAACATCTTACCGTCACCGTCACCGTCACAGCCACTAATTCCCTACCCGTACACAGCATCACCTAAAGCTCGATGATAAACCGTTGCAACAATCTCTCCATTCGACATCTATTTTCACCATAAACTCAAAAGTAGCAGCCATGTGAAGAGGAAAAAGGTGTGTTAAATGTTTTTCTTGCAAATCGTGACTTTTTTTTGTTTTATGATAAAGATCCACATTTAGGTGTAGAGTATTTATAGGGTCAAAATTAGGTCACTAATCCCTATCACTTCACGCAAAAAATATTCGAAGTAGCAACAAATTGGAGAAAAAATCTTTGGATTCGTTAGTATTTTGGAATATGCCGAGATTTTAATATTTAAGGGTCATAACTTTGTTTCTTTAAATGGATTTTGTTGAGATACTGGAGAAAGAAAATCTCCGAAAATAAAGGTGGTGATTAATTAGTTGAAAGATTAGTTGGAATTAGGTAGAATTGAAAACGTTAAATCGAGAATATACACTCGAATATAGCAACATACTCGAGATTTAGTTTGCTTAATATCTTTTTTTAAATTTTGCAAATTTAAATAATAAATGCTAATGGCATGCCGATTAATGTGGGAATAAATTAAGGAAAGAGAGTTAAATGGGTAATTAAAGATTATAAACTTCCTTCAATCTCTTATCTAGGATCCGAACAAATTAAAACCGGGTCAAAACCCGATCCATTTGAATTAAAAACCAAAATCCCCTCTAAAAATGTATATGTAGATATAATGTAATTTCTTACACTTCTCAAACAAAATATACAATTTTCAATGATATATCACTTTCATTAACAATTTTGATAACATGTTCGAATAATGGATTACTATATAAGATTTTCAATAACATTTTCGATCACATTTTCGAATAATATATTAGTATATAACATTTTTACTAATTGTGTTACATTTTCGAATTGATTAGTATATAATATTTTCAAATTATATTAATTGTGTAATCGTTTGAAGAAATTTTTTTCAGAATTATATGTATTATATAAACAAAATCTTTTAATATCTTTAAACCCGTTGACCCGTTGACCCGTTTATATATATTAGTGACATGGAATAAATTTTATGATTAGAATTATATAATGACATATATTGTAATTTCTTACAAAATATAAGTTATGACTCTTAGGATGTACTTCCCAAATATTAGTATAGGATGTGTACGCTTTGAATATTAATGAACAAACTAAGAAACTAAAGGTTTTTGTGATTTTGAGCCTTTGATTCTTTGGGATTAGCAAAAATACCCCTTTTCTCATGCCCCTTTTCAAAAATGCCCCTTTTAGATGTCCATTTTCAAAAATGCCCCTTTTTAAATCTGAAATTTTTATAAAGTTTTATTAGGTTTATAAGGTACTTATGGATTGTAACTACTACTTGAAGACTCGATCCAAGTATTTATAAGGTTTTATAAGGTGTTTTTAAAGGTTTTACAAGTTATTTTAAAGGATTTTAAAGGTTTTTCAAAGGTTTTACAAGATATTTTAAAGGTTTTTAAAGGTATTTAAAATGCATTTATATGGTATTTATAAAGTATTTATAAGATTTTAGATACATAGAAATGTAGTTTGTGTATGTTTTAATAATATTACATACATATTTGGGTAAATCTTATATTTTTAAGAGCATTTTTTATAAAGTTTTAAAAAAGGGGTATTTTTGAAAAGTGGCATTGAAAAAGTGGCATTATTAACAGTTTCCTTTTGGGGATTAACGTAAATGACCAAACAAAAAGAATCAAAAGTATACATGGTGATTGAACCATACTTAGGTTTACCCCTGGGGTGAACCTTTAAATTCACCAAACAGATTATAGCCAATCGTTTTGCTATGTCATTATTAATACTAGAGAATTAAAAAAAAAGAAACACAATAAAAAAAAAAAGGAAATCACAAAATAGATTAGGATTTAAGGTTTAGGGTTTAGGGTTTAAGGTTTAGGGTTTAGATTTTACAATTAAAACGAAATTAGATGTCGGTTTGGGTTGCCAAATGAGTGGTTAGGGTTTAGATTTTATAATTAAAACTAAATTAGATATCGGTTAGGGTTTAGGGTTTAGGGTTTAGATTTTACAATTAAAACGAAATTAGATGTCGGTTTGGGTTGTCAAATGAGTTGTTAGGGTTTAGATTTTATAATTAAAACGAAATTAGATATCGGTTTGCGTTGACAAATGAGTGGTTAGGGTTTAAATTTTACAATTAAAACGAAATTATATATCTGTTCACCGCTGGGTTTAGGGTTTATGGTTTAGGATTTGGGTTTAGGGTTTAGGGTTTATATAACAAATATTTCACAAACCTAAACAGATATATAATTTCGTTTTAATTGTAAAATTTAAACCCTAACCACTCATTTGTCAACCCAAACCGATATCTAATTTCGTTTTAATTATAAAATCTAAACCTTAACCACTCATTTGGCAACCCAAACCGACATCTAATTTCGTTTTAATTGTAAAATCTAAACCCTAAACCCTAAACCCTAAACCCTAAACCCTAAATCTATTTTCTGATTTCCTTTTTTTTTTAATTGTGTTTTTTTTTAATTCTCTAGTATTAGTAATGACATGGCAAAACGATTGGCTATAATCTGTTGGGTGAATTTAAAGGTTCACCCCAGGGGTAAACCTAAGTATGGTTCATGGTGATTGGTAAGAGGAACGTAAACGTCACGTGGACGGCCATGCATAATTTACATTGACAAAAACGATATCTAATTTTCCATTTCATCGATCGTGAAACAAAAAAAACAGATTATTGACCAAAATTTAAAAAGTATACATGGTGATTGGTAAGAGGAACGTAAACGTCACGTGGACGGCCATGCATAATTTACATTGACAAAAACGATATCTAATTTTCCATTTCATCGATCGTGAAACAAAAAAAACAGATTATTGACCAAAATTTATTGTCCAGTGATTTATAATAATAGTGTTGATGTATCTCTAATCGCTATTCAAATTCGATGGAGTGTATGTTTTTGGAAAAGCTTTTGCAACTTTTCTTCAGACATATTTTTTGAACATTATTGTAAAACGCCCGCAAGGTGGTGGGCGAGTGGTAGGGCGAGTCCGGAGTTGAGGGTGCAATCCCCGAACCCGGGTTCGATCTTCCTCCCTCGCTGTTATCAACACTTTGTTGGGAAGTCTGGGCTTGGGCTTCGGCTCAGGCAGTTTACCTGGTAGTCTGGTAACAGGCGATCCAGCTACCCCCGGGCATTAGTCGGAAAGCATTCCAAACTCGGATCAGGCAGTGTGGTAGCCCATCCTTCGGGGTGGTAGTGAGTCCACTCTGTAGCACTCCGGTGCGTTCCTGCCGAGGCTGACCGGATCAGCCGATCGGGTATATAAAAAAAAAACATTATTGTAAAACAGTATATTAATTTTAAACTATATATATTTTTATTTTATTTTGTAATTGTTTGGGTCGAGTCGCGTTGATGGGCCTTTTATAGCAACTTGACCTTTGAATACGGCGGTGCCGGAGCTGGTCCCTCGTACGTTGACTTTTTGTCTTTCATTTTTCGAATACCTGACGCAGTCTTTATCGGTTCGTCACTCATTTGACATTTTGGTGTTTTAATTTGTTCTTGAACAATAACTATGTAAATCTATATCCATGGATGTGTTAACATTTAACATCACAAATCTAACTTTTAAGTGTTATGAAGAAAAAATAATCATCTTCTTAGTTATAGCTTTTTCGCCTATATCAAAATGATCAGTAGTAATTGTTTTTGGCCGTTGAAGTTAGAAAAATAATTTCACTTGGACGTATTTTTGTTGGAAATTGTAACTTTTATATGACATTTATTCAATCAAGACAGTATTTATATCTTGATCTAAAATATTTTAGCTATGTATTATTAAAATTGGAATATATAACAGTAATAATTTGCACTAGCGATGACATCGTGTTATTAGGCCGATTCAAATTCAATAGTGTGATTACGTAACAAATTGTAGATGACCATATTTTTTTTCAATTGATATACGAAAGGCCATTAAGTTATTTTTGGGGTTACTTGACTGGTCGTACCGTAGTAAGTCATCTAATTTGTGTGCTCTAAATTGCATTTATTTATATCCCTTAGTAACCTTATGTGATCTCCAAAAGCTCTCCTAACCAAAATTTCCACCCAAATGGTTCATTGTTGTGTGGCAAACCTTGAATCAACTTGGTACACATCCTTGGACTATGTTAAGGGATCTTTAATTTACTCCTAACTCTTTTTTAGTAAACGAATGAAGAGCAATTTTGGGATACAAAAAAGTATGAACACAAGATGACTTTAGATTTCAATTAGCAAATAAAGTCTTGTCTTATCCGGCATCTTTTATAAAATACAAAAACGATACAAGATACGTGAAATCATGAATTTCTGCAAAGAAGACAAAGTGAAAGAGTTTTGCCCCAAAAAAAAAAAAAAAGACAAAGTGAAAGAGTGGAGATTGTTTACCATGGTTTATCAGGTTGGTCCCATGTTCGCAGCATATATAAGTAAATAAATTTGTATATCCAAATTTTCTTGTTTAGATGATGTTATGCAGATAAATATAACAGAACAACGAAAACATCAAATATATATGGAATTTTAAGTTTAAGATATAATAAAGAAGAATTTAAGCGTCATATCTATGGCATTGCATACGATTATTTCTATTTCATGTAATCTTACGCAATCGTTGGTTTATAATCTTTGATTCATTCATAAAAAGTATTGATGGGGTGGGCTCTATTTGACCTATATCAAAAAAGGTTATAGGCCAATCATCTTAATCAATTGAGCCTATGTTCCTCACCTTAAGAAAAGCCTGAATTTTAAAAGTTACATGAAAATGTGTGTAACGTCAAATGCGTGAATTGTACACTCTTTTTTGGAACCAAATTTATATAGAGTCATTACCGATAACAAATACATATCAAAACCAAAAGCTTGGTCCTTCCAAATGGAGGTTGAACCTGGACTTCTAGTTCAATTTTTTTTTCTTCTTTTTTTCGGGACAGTGTCCTCCAAAAGAGGTCCACAAACCTCGGCTATGGACTTCGCAGTAAAGAGAAACACTAGATCCAATATATATGTAAATTCACTATTGGGAGCTTTTTATATATTACAATTCTCGAAGAGAATCTAAAGGAACTTCATATAGGATGATGGATTCCATAGATCTTATGTATTCATTAAATCACGCACTCGACATAATTTGTGGCGCTATATATAGTTTAATAAAATGGCTAGTGAACAAACACCACCATTTTTTGTTGACTTTTGGAAAAGGGATTAGGTCCATACTTTTTGGGGATAATTCTTTTTGTTGCAGATGAAATGTCAATACCAACTATATGATTTTTGAATAAAAGTTTCTGAATATTTCTTTGAGAAATAAACATAAAACACACTGACTTATATTGAACTATATTACTGAAAGTATCTGAATTTTGAAGAGTACGTATAAAATATAACGTGCATTATAATTCGGGTTTCGGTAAAGTGTTTTGTCTTATTTTCTTCTTCTATTTGTAATATGCAAGTTAATGTATATATATAGACATAGATTATATAAGAACACTGACAAGTAATATCAGAAAAGTACTTTTTCATGAATAAACTAATTTTCAAAATCACAATAAAAATCAGTTAAAATAAATAAATTAAATAAAAGTAGTAAAATATACCAAAACTAAAAATAAAAATTTATCTAGAAGTTTTAAGAAACAAAAAAGTCATAGACTTATATTAATTTAGATTAAAAATCATTTGGCAACATTATTTATTTGGCAACTTATATTAATTTAGATTAATGACACTGGGAAGTGAAACATTATTTATTTGTATCTTTGATTCATTTAACATGTCTGGTTATACATGACTTGATGATGGAATCATAGGTTGAGAAAAACCACCAAAATCAAGAAGACTCTGTTATCCTCTAAACGACACCGTTACGGTTAACTCTTTTGTTTCACACGTACCGGTTTCTATTTGATTTTAACCGAAACATCTTCACCACACTCGAATAAGAAGAAGAGATGCGAGCAATTCACACGCAATTGAGCTCCTGGTTCGGTTGTGACTCACTGAATCCATTGGTGGTGACTGAAGACTTTGAAAAGATCGAGATGTGAATCTCCTAAAGGAACTCTTGAGGATATGCGACTCAAATTGATACACTCTATGAATATGCTATATTTTGTACTTGTGTTGTTTCTGATTGTAGCCCAGAGTACTCCTTATATGGGTTTCTGCAATTCCTCTGTTGGTTAGATGAAATATTGAATTCTGTGTTCAAAGTTAAAACCTTTACTTTGCTCTGAAGGTGTCACGGTTATTTCGAGTCGATTTTCCAAAGTTAAATACGGAGGCATTGTTCATTAGAAAAGAAGGGGAGTGACCAAGTTTAGATGGAGGCCATTGTTCATTCTTAGCATTTGTATCTACTGTTTAGATAGGGGATCCTTAGCTTGAACTATAGAAACCTTGTTGTGTATTTGTACAACAACCTCCTTAATTTAACTATTGAGAGTAACAAGGAGAAAGGTTGGCAAGTAATGCCACTTTTGATCAAGACTTGTCCAAATCTACACACTTTAGTCTTTAAGGTACTTATTGAGATTATTTTAGTGTTGCCCATTAATTATACATGTCAAATTGGTCTATGGTTTCAGGGTCTTGTGCACAGAGTGACAAATAGATGTGGAGACGCATGCGCGAAGCAGAGGAAGATTGTAAAGAAAGAGGAGGCATTATGTTGTTTATTGACATGTCAAGTGAAGGTGCTTCAGATTTCAAGAGCTGGAACAGATGAGACGTTTCTTTGGGCAAGTTGGAACTTCTGATAGAGTGTGTTGATTATTTCAAGGCTTACAATACAGGGTGCCCGTAAATTAATGCTACAACAAATCGACACCTCAGGCCATTCAAAGGGAAATAGCCATTTAAAAAAATAAAACAAGTGTATTTTTGCTTGCTTATTTAAGAGAGAGCTAAGAGCTATGTATGTGTATGTTTCCTTTGTTTAAGAATTAGTCTCTCTATGTTGTTGAAGAACTATGTATCTCTTTGTTTAAGAATTAAAAACTCAGTTACCAAATATGTCTTTCACTATTTTGCTTGAGCTTTTCAGGTCAGAGAACATTATATATTGTGTATGAGTTTTATATGATATCGATGGATACTTTGTAACTGAGCTTTCTACAAGTCAGTGAACCTCACTTTGCTCAGAACATTGTCAGCTACCTGTAACATCAAAGCTACAGGTAGTGTTTCATTAAAAAGAGTGGAGAAAGAAAAAGGAAGCTGAAACATTTGTCACAACTAATTCATTGGGCAAAATACCTCTTTGTTATCGATCACAAAATCTTACAACATGAGGATTACAATAACATTGTTGGAGGATGGAAAGCAAAACTTTAACAGACTGCATTTGGTGAAAAAAAATTGGGATTATTCATCCGCCAACAAGAAGTAAAATTCTACGACTTCTTGAGATCAATACTATACTATAACCTTGTTCCTTGTGCAGGTAAAAAATTCATGTACATAGTAACGTGAGAGACAAGAAGTTTCAGAACACAAAGAGCCCCAAAATACTCAGTTTTTTTTTCAAGTAAAGTGTCAAAGCAGAATAGTAATACTTTCAGGGCTTGACCGATTGATTGCTATTTGTGTAAGCTACGGGTATTGTTTCATCAAGCTTCAGCTTCACCCTCTGTTCCAATAAACTCATGCAATTAAGGACCGCAATGGATTCATAACCATGCTCAAATCAACATGTCATATATAATCTGGTGCAAAACCATTGTCTTTTGGGTTATTACCTTTCTTCTGGCAACAAGAGTCTGGCTTTGCTTTTATTTCTTTTCTCAGAAGCTTTGACCGCATCAGCTTGAGAATTCCTTGTGATATGATTGCATCTCTGTTAAAGACAGAGTTGCAATGGAAAAGCACAAGACAATTATATCAACTATGATCTGAAAAATCTGAGAGGCAAGCTTGTAATATTGTTTACCTTGTGGACCAAAGAATCATATCGACCCCATGACCAGATGTTGTTGCTCTATCACCATGGCGTAGTACAGCCTGATCCGGTGTGTGAGAGTCACCAAACATTTCCTGCTTTAGTGAGAAAATGGTTGTTTACTTTATTACTTGAAACCATTTTGCCAATACCGGAATTTGGAATGTAATAGGAGAAAGACAAAAGCTCAAACCTCTGGCTTTGTATCTGTATTCACATCATGTTTCTTGCATCGTGTGCCTCTGAAATATAATTCCTCTCCCTCAAAATGTTTACTCAAAGACACATTCGATGTTAGTTCTGAATCATCCACATGAAAGCCTGCAGGTTAAAAAGATGATTGCTTATACTAAACCAAATTCTGTGTTTGCTATTAAAGAATCTTTACTTGGGTTTCCTCTAAGCAGATTAAGTATCACAGAATAATTTTAAAGTTTAGGAAAGATCGCAGAGAACAAGGCGGGACTCACCTAAGTCAATATCCCTATCTGTGCCATATTCAACAACAAATCCATTCTGAGAGTCAGACTTTGATCCACACACTTCCGGGAACACTGCAAAACAACAGAGTTTAGTGTTAACCAATAAAAAAAGTCTTTCAAATGCATTCAAGTCATATATTGCTTTGCCTTTGGAAACAGGAAAGACAAAACCCTCCATGATATTTTCAAGCATGCTATCCAGTCCAAAGTTGTCAAGCAAGGTACCGTATTTCCTCATGGTGTTTGGTTTCGTGATCTGGATCTTTGCCACATTAACCCACTCTCCGAACTTATCTACCTGATTAATCAAACAGTTGGTTTGGTCTCATGAACAAAACAAAGAGGTAAGAGCATGACATAGACTAAGTAGTAAGATGATGGGTTTTTTTCACCTTTGATAGCATCATCTCATAGAATTTAGGCTGAAGCATTTCAGAGACAAATATTCCTGGAGACGATACAGAAACTACACTTCCACTGTGTCTCCATTGATGGCCTTCAGGAAAGAGGGGGTGAAAAAGAATGTGGGGTCAAATGTATACAACTCCCTGTAAAGTGGCTGCAGAAGGAAACATTTCAAATTTTGGAAGAAATTCCAATTTCACAAATGTGTTAAAAGAAAAACTAATTGAGAGAATCACCTCAAACATGGTCTTTAGTGTTATGGTAACATAGGGTGATGACCGTGCCTGCAAAACCATGAGCAAAAACAGCAAACATTTTGCAAGTATCAACACTACAGAAACTCGTATATCTCCTCCACAAACGTTTCCTGCTTCAGTGAGAAGTGGAATGTAAAACGAAAAAGAAAAGAGCTCCTCAACACACCTCTGACTTTGCATCATATCTTTTCCCAATGTTATTGTAACTTGCGCCTTGGAAATATAATTCCCCTCCCACAGATTGTTTACCCAGAGAAACATTCAATGTTACTTGTGAATCATCCACATGAAAGCCTGCAGATTCCATTGGAGAATTCACTCTAGTATTCTCATGGCCAGAAAACATAAGCAAAGTCAAGGAAAGGGGTTCACCTAAGTCTACATCCCTAGATGGACCACATTCAGCAACAAATCCATGGTGAGAGTCTAGAGTTGATCCACACACATGAGCAAAGTAAACTGAAAAACAAGGAAGGTTAGTTTTACTGGACCTAGTTAAATGGGGTTACCCCATAAAAGTAATAAGTCATAACGTATCATGTTGCCTTGCCTGTGGAAACCCTGCCTGACTTTTTCCAGGCCAAAGTCGTCAAAGACAGAACAGCATTTACTCATGGTGTTTCCAGAGGCAACAATATCCTTGCCTCTGCCTTGTCTCCTAGTCGTAGGTGGCTTGGTCTTACCAGTATTTGAATTTGGGATTACATGAGTAGAAACTTGTCTGATCTCTTTCCTTTTTTCCTCACCACCATTCGGGTCTTCATCAGGTTTGGGCCGTTTCTGTTTTGGCGTTTTAGAGCTCCTTCGACCACCAACGAGAGACAGTAGAGGGAAAGATCTCTATACTGGTAGAGATAGAGTTTCCATGCGTATCTCTTCTGTCCCTCTGCATCAAGTGGTACGTTTATGGTCAAGACAGTAATAGCGACCTCTTGGCCATTGATTTGTCGTTTAAGGCGAGGGTTTGGTTTCCACTTGATCCGTAGGGCCTTTGGTTTTGGTCTCCATTGATAATGATTTGACCAAACCCAATCAAAAATCCAAGGGACCAAAAGACTAAGCCGTTCATATTCTATGGTTCGAATCGTAACCGTTCTTTCATTTTTGTTCAGATCGTAATCGTAACGATAAAGCTCTAAAACCTCCATCGTAACCCTATAACTCTAAAACCTCCTCCATCGTAACCCTAAAACCTCCATCGTAACCGTTCTTTCTTTTCGTTCAAGTTGGAAAATTCAGTTCCTAAAACTCTAAACCGCCATCGATTGATCTAAAAGGTTCGAAGGAGGCGGCGGAGAAGGATCGCCTCTTACTCTCTTCTGCGGTGGTTCTTCCACAAGATCCTGATCCATGGTAGAATAGGAGAGCGAGCGAGAGAGAGCGTAACGAAGAAGCAATTCGCTTTTTGAGAAGGAGAGAGATGAAGAAGCAATTAGTTGCGGAGAGAAATGAAGTTGCAATTTGGCTGGAGGCGTTTATTAATGATCTGATGCACATGTAAGTGATCTCTCTCGCATTTTAGTCTTTGTGTTGTGTTGAGATTTTGTATTGCGTGCTTTTCCCAAGGGAGATCTTTCTAATATTTCCTCTCTCAGGCTCTTTTTTTTGAATTTTGAGGCGGTTCCGTCTAGTACAAAGGAGTGTGGCTTTGGCTGTACCTGACCAGATTTTGTAGGTGACAATGTATGAAGCTGCAACACAAGTGCAGGTAGAAAGGAGACTCTTCTTGTTAACAAATCTTGGTTTTTTAGTCAGTTTAATCTTTTTATGTTATGTTCATTTTGCCGAAACAGAGCAGACATAATCCTGAGCCGGGGCCTCTCTAAGAGACTCCTTCCTACTTGAGCCGGATTTATCGGATTCGTTTGGTTTTTTTACTTGGTTTGCTCTTTTGTTTCTTTCCAGAAATTTTGTCATTGTAATGTTGTTCATGATTCCTTGCTCCACCCTAATAAAATTGTCAAGAGTTTGTCTCAGATTCCTTGAGTAGTTTGTTGCTCTACTTTTGGGTTTGTATTCATTATTTATACGGATAAACGTCTATTCAAGATCCATGAATAAACCTTCCAAGTTCAAATACAGACCCAATACCAACTCAATAAACAAGCCTAAGATACTAATACTCTCCACCACCAAATCAACTGGTTTGGCCTTGGTCTCTGAGAGTGCTCCACCTCCTTGGAGATCTTTGTCTAACAAAGCATGCACACACAATGTTCTCTAGCTACTTCTCTTGTCGGATCTCCACAAACACAGAGAAAAAGCTAACACATACCAGCAGACTAATATAGGATCTTGATTTGTACTAACCATAAACTAAAAGTTCACAGGAAGAAGAAAAACGCATAGGTATTGTACATCTTCCAGAAAGAGCTTGTAACAAACTTTAATGATATTATAGTGATATAACCATATACTATACATGCTAAGTTACTTTCACATTCCCACGTCAAAGCGAAAAAGACCAAGGAAAGAAAAGGTCAGACGAATTGGATGTTGTTGCACTTTGGTGAAAGTCTGGAGAGAGTCCTCAGATTAGCTCGCAAGAACTCAGTGTTGTTGTCGTTGTCCGCAGCAACACCAACTTTCACAGTTTCAAGACACTCCAACTTGCCCAAGAAGTGTCTCATCTGTTTCAGCTCTTGAAAAGAACCACCGTACTCTGAAATCTCTAGCACCTTCACTTGACATGTCCATAAACAGCATAATTTCTCCTCCTCCTTCACAATCTTCCTCTTCTTCTTTTTCTCATGCTTCTGCGTCTTAGGGATGCAAGCGCATGCGTCTCCGCATTTATTTGTTACTCTGTGTACAAGACCCTGAGACCAGAGACCAATAATTAATGGGCAACACTTACACTAACAAGAAAAAGGAGTCTCAAATAAGTAAATTTAATAATACCTTGAAGACTAAAGTGTGTAGATTTGGACAACTCGTGAGGAGAAGTGGCATTACTTGCCAACCTTTATCATTGTTACTCTCAATAGATAAATTAAGGAGGTTGTTGAACATCGGCATGGATTCACAACAGAAATGAAACGCCTGAATTTATAAAAGTGAGCGACCTTGCTAGCTAGTAGTAGATTGATTCTAATCCTCCAGAAACCAAAACACAATCAATAGAAAAAGAAGAAGAACTGACCTCAAGGGAATCGGGAGACAAGTGAAGGGTCGTAATGTTGCTTATACCTGCAACTAGATTTGTAATATCACCAAATATAGCCGGTTCATCATCATAATAGTAACCATAATAGTCATCATCTTCATCAGAATAATCATAATCTTTAGTTGAGTCCCATAACCGGAGACTCAGCCTGACTTCGACAAGCGAACCCAAATCAGTTAACTCATAATTTTCAGAGACATAACTAGAATAGTCAAGGTAAAGAAGACTTGGTGCTTTGAAATAAGTTACATCATGATCGTGTTTAGAACCCGGAAGATTGACAGAAACCACAAGTCGCTTGATGGATGCACTTTCCACACCTACACCGCAACATGGGATATCCCAAGAATCAGCTTCACATATGAAAAGTTCTTCCAGTACAGGGCAGCCATCGATGAGCCGACAAAAGTTGGGATGATCAAGCCTTGAAGTTAAATATAGAGTAAGTGATTTGAGCGCTGGGAAAAACACGCGTTTGGCTTCAAGAGCATATCCACCGGATAGTGTGAGCTTGACCAGTGTATTGCTCGTGAACAAATCTGTCTCTATATCAACACCACCAGTATAGGCGTGCAAGTGTAGTTCCAGTAAACCACGTTCCATTGCAGTCCATATCCAACGTTGGTATGCATCGTAACGGTCAGGTGTAGGTATATGACAGAGAGATAATTTCTTCATGTGTGAATTGCCTAACAGAGCAAATGTCTTGTCTACGAAATCAGAGAAGCGATGAGAACCACTTAAAGCTTCTTCTTCGTTGAGATACACAACCATCGAATCATCAAAGCAAAGGTTATCTACAAGACTCAGCAGATTCCTCCACCTCTTGGACAGAATTGATGTGGAAGCAGCCTCTTTTGTCGGAAGCAAAGACAAGATTTTGCCAAGTATCTCATCTGGCAAATTGCTTATCGAAGAACTCATGAGGGATTCAACTGTATACTCGATTAGAGTCACAACAACAAGTTCCTTGTATTGAATTGAACAATAGAAGCCGAAAAAAACAAAAACCCAAAATCAAAGATGGATCCTTTAAATCGAAGGCGAGAATAAGGAAGACAAAACACACACCTTACTCCTACTGAATCTTAAAATCGAAGCCGAGAAAGTTACGACGGCAGGGGAGGAGACGGAGGAAGATCGAAAAGCGAGAGAGACAGAACGGTGTCGTTTAGATGATAACACACTAACAGAGAGTCTTGGTATAAATCGAATAGAAACCGGTATGCTTGAAACACAAGAGTTAACCGAGCCGGTCTGGAAAGTTTTTGAAGGTTGTGAGGCTCCGTAACGGTGTCGTTTAAAGGATAACAGAGTCACTTAGAATTTGGGGCTGGTATAGAATTCTAAGAAAGTCTCTCTGTAATGAAGACTCCTATAATGGTTTTGGACTGGTTTTTTAAGGTGATCAACTAGACATTGCTTCCTACTGATTTTTACAATGAAGAAAAATATTCACAATGAAAAAAAAAAATTCATTGTTGGATTCAATGAAAAGATCCACACCAACGACAGCAACAAGACTAACCTAAAAAGCAAAACTGCAAATATGAGGGCAAGCTAGGTAGGAAGATGTAGTGGATTATTTGTAAATATTTGACTTTGGAGTAGAAAAAAACAAGGGATTATTACAGAAATTGCCATTTTTGACATACCATTTTTCAAATTTGCCATTTTTACAATAATCTTTCAAATTTGTCATTTTACTAAAGATTGAGATTTTTTTTTTTTTTTGATAAAACACATATTTAATAATAAAAGCTAAACCCTAAAATCAAATAGAAACTAATAAACCCAAGCATCATGTTGTGTTTTTATATGTTGTATATGTAAGAATATTTTATATTCGATGTGGCCTATGTGTGTTTCGGTTTAATCGTAAAGTTCAAGTTCATATTATGTTATTGATTCTAAAATAAAAGACGACACCGGGATGGATCGGTTTCGAGTAATGTCATTAGAATGCGGGTGTCTTGATAACCCTCCTCTCTTACTTTGATTAATACTTATATAGACATCCATAATTTAGTTGTCACATATATATGTATACGTACTTTATGGTAGTTATTATTATTTAATATAACTTCTTGTATATATATACATATATAAGTGGTCGTGTTGGTTACGTAGTGATTCGTTGTGAAGGTTCAGAGTCACATTTATAAAAGAGACGAACACACAAACGTGAACGTAACTTGCGTAATAAGAAAACGGCCACTTAAAAGGACAAATGAATTAAAGGGTTTTGATTCTTCATCCATCAGAAGAACCATCAAGGAATAAAAAGTCAAAGAGAGGAGAAAATCAAATTGAAGCTTTGAGTCCATCATTAAGCCAAATCAAGCAATGGATCAAGGTTAGTGTTTCTTCTTCTACAAGAAATTGGTCATGGTTGAGTTAAATCAAATCTAGATGATCTTGGGACATATTTCATAATTAGAAATCATAAAGGTTAAAATTTATAGTATAAATGGCAAATTTGAAAGATTTAAAGAGAAATGGCAAAATCCATAAAAGCCATAAAAAAAAAGGGTTTAACTCAAAATTGATCCAAAAACAATGGTAAGAAGAGAGCATCAAAACAAAGTAAGATCTACGTATACATGCATGAGAGGACCACCACATTTTTGTCCAGGTTTACAAATCTCTTTAAGAAATTGATTCTTTATAATGGTACAAACGAGACACAAGAGGTGTTTAATCAATCAAAAACATCATCAACTATTCTCAGAGTCTCCCTCTCTTGTTTCCTTTATGTTTTACAACTAGTTCACGTGTTTATATTGTTTTCATTTCAAGAACAACAAAAACAAAACTTAATTGAAAAAAGATGGTTACTCCCCGGTATGTAGAAGAGACCTGTGGCAAGATCAAACTCTTTAAGATAAACAATTGATAATCCAACAAATCATGTTATTGCAGAGTCATGTTCTCGATATTGATTCCACAAGCTAAGCCATTCTCCTTGAACCGCCTGTTGGATATTTAAGTGTTCAAAAACGGGTACTTTACTAACCAATGCAACTAGTAAGTTTATTAGACGTAACCTAACATCGGAACCGTTAGATATTATAAAACTATATTTTTTTATAACTGGCATATTTATGCGGACCCTTATGAAGTTATAAATATTCTTTATGTGTTACAAATTGGTTGATAATTACGTTTTCATTCTTATTGTTTAAGGGCAAACCGGATATGAGTTT